CCAGGTCTATTTAGTACAATATTTGACAAACATCAAAAAGATGAAGATAATGGATGATGTCAGCACAATCAAAAGACTTCTCAACTATCAAACCTTATGTTAATCATTTTTTGTTTGTTTGTTTGTTTGTTTTTTCATTGAATACATGCCACAGTTACCTTTATAAATGTCTCATATACATCATTGAAAAAGTTCTTGATTCCATCCTCATTTTTAAGATCATGAAGCATCATGAACCGCATGCTTAAGGAAAGTCAAGGATAATCAAAAGAGACAATGAAGATGAATGAATTACTGAGAAAATAAGAATTGAAAGACATGCGTTTTTTGCAGTGGACTTCAAAATTTGTCTGTTTTTTATTTTCTCTATCTCAAAACTGATGCATCAGTCGACTGAAACATGTGGAAAGAAGAGATGGCTGAGAAAGAGGCTAGATAAGTTAAAGTTGTGCTGTTATTGTCATTACATAACAATAAGATTTATAAAGGATATCTCCTGCTGTGACGAAGGCTGACACAAACCATTCATTGAATTTGTCTACTGTTTTTAGGTACCTGAAACAGTAAACATCTAACACTAGTAACAAATACAGATATTTGAAAAAATATTGAGTACTGAACACTGTAGTTCTGCAAAGAGCACTCCAAAGAAAGTGTTTTTGCTTATGGTTGAAAATAACCTTTGATTTTATGTAAAAACTGGCATGCAATATGGGTAAGTTAAATTTTTGATTAGAAACCTACATTGTATTTGTGTTCCACATAGATTCATCCACAAGATCTAAAGCAGCATGAACTATAAATTGGTTTAAATGTCGATGGTCATCTTTCTAAACACACAAAAAAACACAAATTAATAAACAGTCGTATCTGAATCAGTTGTCTATAAAAGGAAAGCATTGATCAACCTTGTATGATTGATCGCCCTGGCTCGAATCCATGGATTTCATCTGTGGAGTGAACTCTTTTTCGTAAACTGGATTATCATGATGTCCTACAATTGCAAAGTAGTAGTTTCCAAACATAGTGAAACAACTTTTTGCCGTCAATTCCGCATCCTGAAGTTTGTTTGACGATTCTGTTATGAAATTGTGCCAGGCGTTACATGCTGTAATCATTAGAGAGTGGGCACTAGTAAATTTGCTAAAAAAGATTTGTACCAAATAATCRAATATAAAAAACTAGCAATCCTGCCATTGTTTAAATTTTAATTTTAGTTTSATATAATGTGAATTACAGTTTTATTCAATGAAATCTTTTAGCCATTTCTGAACGAATTCTGAACGGTAGTTCCAAAGATATTCCGAAAATTGTCCGACCGTCCTCCGAATAAAATTCGTAAAGTGAGTGCAGTCAACCGCAGGTCTAGTTCCTTGAGCCTGCACAGTRTCCCATAATTCCAATGGGTGCTGCTTTTTCCACCAATGGCCTGTCTGGAAGACGAGCTGTGGCGCGAGAGTCTTGGTAGGTTTTCTTGCACATCCATCTTTGCCCAATAACCTGTGTTGTTTTCCATTTATTTTGCACAAGAAGTSATCTTGGTGCATATATAAAACCTGGAAAAGCTGCTCCAGTAAGTATTTTAACATGGAGAATATAGTTTTTTTGGTATGTAATGCATGGCGGCGCAAAAAGATGTGTTCGCGGGAACAGGTCGACTTGCTTTTGGTCTGCAAATAATCGTAAACATTTCCTTAGTACTCCGTGGAAACCAGTGAAAATCTGGTTGTCATGCAAAACAAACGCTTGAAAATATCAAATTTTGATTTAAAGTCATCGWAAAATGGTTGTCTTTATGTATATAACACGTAGATWGAAGTGKCAAAAGCGTTCTGRACTAAATCCTTTGGCTAACTTTGTTTAATTTGACGTCCTACATTTGACAACTTTTGATCATAGTTTCACTAGGTTTACAGAACACATTATTGTCAAATGCAAAAATAGAGACATGATCAGTTAGACAAAAATTGTACTTTAGTCTACAATGAAGCGTGATTTGAAACCATAGAAACTCGAACAGCTTTTACGCTCGATTTACCAACAACTTAGCACGAGTAGAAAACGAAATAGCGTAATTTATTTTTCTATTTATTTTATTGCAAAGGCTCCATAACCTCTAAATAAGGTACKTTGTACCTCAAAAGAGGTCCCTGTAACGAACATGGCAACAGGAGGGACACCAAACGGACGAGATAAGAAACCGACTGTCAAAATGTCCTCTTTTTCTGAACCTCGTCCTAAAAAGAGACCTGCTCCAAGATTTGACCCAAGTTTTGACACGGAGCTCAGCTTGAATASCGAATTGAGAAGAAYCGAAGACAGTGCACAACTTAATCACAGATCTTTACCTAACAACTTGGTAAGTATACTACCAAATGCCCAGACATTATTTATAAATACGATGTGATTTTCACAATGTGATGGCTGTTGGCATAAGCCTGATTAAATGSCACATGTAAATTAGTTCTAAAAATATGAATTGCCTGCTGTTAATGATTTGTATGTGCTTAATAATGTTTGAGCTGAAAGGATGCTGATAGTCTAAAATAGAGTTCAGCTCAATGATTGTTGTCCCATTTCAGTTTTTGAGGGAGTATAGTTTGAAGTGAAATTGAGAATTCTACTCCAAAGTAGTCTGAAGTGGGACAACAATAATTGCCCAGGCTGAGCAAAAGTGTATTTGTTTAAATAAATGATATCAAGTGATCATAGCAAWATATTATGATTACTTATTGTTTTAATGAATTTTAAGTTATTACTTACAATAAAATACCAATTAAAATAACAGTGATTTTGGTTAATATGATTATAATATTTCTAATACAATAATAAATATGCTGTTGATTAAATTATGTATTTAAACACTTTTCAAAAAAAAAACACACATGTTTACATAATGCTTTTTGTATTAAAAAAAAAAAACAAACAAACAAGGATCATTTATCACAGAATTTTTTAATGGATAAAACAGATATCAGTTTGGTTGCTGCCTGGGAGAGTACCCTGTTTAAATGTAGTATGTGCAGCGTCCTGCTATGTAAATATCTACTATGGGTAAAGCTGTACAACTATTGAACAATGTAAAAAAAGTTTAGTTGATACACAGAACATACTCATTATCATTATAATCGAATAAAATAATAATTTGCATACTTCAACAAGGTACATGCAGGCAGCAATCACACTGATATCCAAGACCAATATATCGTTTCCGTTCACTTAATAGTATTGCATTCTAAATGTTAACAGGGATGGTCACTAGGGACTAGTAGCAATATGGCTGAAAGACTTACCCCTAATGGTGGACAAAAGAAAGCAAAACCGTTTGAGCATATTATACTTCAAGAAGGAGCTTCAAYTCCAGATTCCCCTTCTTTACCATCAGAGTTTAGAAGAAAGAAACATCACACTCCTGCAACTATTCCTAGAACTAGACTTCCACCAGGCACTCCTAAAGCTGAACGGGATGCACTGGAACGGTTAAGACAGCAGCTGACCTTTGCRGAGGAAGAGGTGATGTTGAGAATGATTTCTAGAAGAGCTTTGCTACTCTTAAAACAAATATATAAGAACAAATAAATAAGACTTTTTATTGCACAATATTAGATTCCTACTAGAGGACCAAGTAATAGCACAACACAGGATGTAGCAAGCAGAAGCTCTGCTGCCAATAATGAAAGACCTTTGGTTAGATCACCTGGTACTCARAATATATCTGTACAAGAAAGTAATGACACAGATGCACCTCTAGCTAATGGTGGGAATTCTGAAGGTGGCAATGAGAAGGTAAAATGCTTRAAAAAATATTGAAGCATGTCTACTACTGATATTTAGTAAATAGATCGATTTTTTCTGTGTGTCTGTTCTCTAATAGATAAAAGGAAGTGCTTCTTTYTAACATGATTATTGATCCATTTAGGTTGACACAACACAAATTCTCGAGAGGTTGAGACAAGTCAGGGTATGTTGAAATTTTGTTAAATTGTGTTCTTTTTACAAACTTGATACAGACCAATAATTATTTGGTGTTTTTTGAATTTTTAGGAGTTTCTCAAACAAGCAACTTCAATGTTTGTAACAATGAGCTTTGAAGGGAATGAAGACCAAAGAGTATGTGTGACATTTTTTTAAAATATGATGATGTTTTAGGGACTTAATTCAATCAAAAATTGATAATTATCAATAGTTATTATTCATTAATTTATGTATAAATACATGGATATGGTACAAGTGGATTTAGTCTTTAAATAGGTTTTTTTTTATTGTTTTAAACTTATTCAAAGTAGTCCATGCCATAACCTAATTACCTAACTGATGTTTTACTCAAAACTATTTTTATCATTTAATAGGCAAAAGAATATGAACAAGCAGCAAAGCTTCATCGTCTTATTAAACATCTCAAGAACCAAGAAAAAGCTTATACTGATCTTTTAGAAAGAACTCTGGTTAGTATACTTTATATATTATTGATTATTGAATATTATTATCATGAAACTAATATCATGGGATTGTTTGTGTAGGCTGTAGAAGATGACTTGACAACTGAGAACACCCCTTCAGTTAGCGTACAGTCAGTATCTGATGATGAAAAGGTACAAATAAAACAGCATCTATTTTATATGTTTCTTGATAATAACAAAAGTAATGTTTTTTTAATGTTTATTTCTTTAGGGGGAAACTCCATCAATTCGTGAGGAAGAACTGCAAGGCTTAKGACAACAGCACGCTRTATTACAGAAGATGCTAGAACAACAACGGCAGGTACATTACACTGACAAAAGGATGAGTGCAACACCTCTACATTGTAACATGATGTCCTGAAATTTATATCATGGTAGTCTATGTTATAACTATAATACAGGGAATGGTATTGTATTGTATTTATTGTACAGCTTAAAGAGCTCCAGTCAAGACAAGCAGCTCTATTAACACTACAAAGAGATGCAGAGCAAAGACTTGCAGAAGCAGAAGGAGAGGTAAACTATTGCATTCAAATCTCTTCATTCTAGTATATTTTCAAGTATCACATTTTTGCTGGTATTTTGATTAGTTCTTCATCATTATCTGGTATGGGTTTCAGGATGATGAAGGTGCAGTTGGGGGTACTGGTTATGATACTGCTAGCGGAAGAAGTAGAAGTGGCACAGAAGCCTCTCAGTTATCAGAAGCTACAACTGAGGTACATTGTCTCAATATTGTCATTAAAATATCCATCAACACTAAAGAAATCATGTTAATTTGCAAAATTATGACATAATGGCCACTCAAATGCCTGGAAAGTATAATACGCACTGTGGCTCAATCACAGTAGTAGAACAAGAGATCTTGTCATAGGCCAATTTACATGATATGTGACTTGTGGTGTGCAGTTTGACATAAAAGAGGGAATTCTACTGTTTAAATGGCTCTAAAACCAGACTTATGATCTGCAACTTGTCTTTGCTTCACTCTCTCATTCTAGTTTAGAATCATAACCAACTCATGTAGAAATCTACCATAGAGTTCCTATATTGATACACATACATTATCTCTCTGTATATAAAGTTATTTGTTCTTTAACTTGTCTAGTGTGTCATCCACAATCATCCATTCATGCCATAGTGTTCATTCTTCTCTGTGTAATTATCTTTCTTGATCATCTTTATAGTGCAGCGACTGGGGTCTTACCCCTGAACAGCTTGCTCTTCAAAACTTTATAAGGAGAAACAAAGAAAAGGTAGTTTTCTAACAAAGCATGKTATTTGTCATCAGTTCAATGAAAGWGTTAAGCACACATARAATGCCGTSRGATGCACTTCATTTTATAACTTCTATGCTTGCTTTGCTAAAGCCATACATAGCTAATTTAGATAATAGTGGTCCTTCCCTTTCCATGGGGATAAAGGTGACTGTCCTTAAAAATGATACATATACCATAACACAAATGTATACTTATATGTTAACAAGCATGGCAATAGAACTTTTCCAAATTAGCAGTCATAAGGGAATTGCTCAAAGTCAAGGATGTATTGGATTCTGCATTGCATGCAAGTAATCCKTCKACCTCCCCCAWTCCAGCAATGTCATGGAAGSCAATGCTTACATGSGAAMGGTGRRTTATAATTGRGTTCATCTTTATTCACATAGCAAACAGCTCGTCAACGAAATGAGAAAGACAAAGATGAAGTCAATGAGAGAAGACCCAAMAAAAACCAAAGGGTATAAWCAAGTCATACTGCTAAAATGAAATWAACTTTAATGCRGGTTATTGGTATGACTTACAAGTACCTGACCTTATTGTTTCTTTGTAGCCATCTAATGCTTCAGCTGATTTGCAATCTATGTCAGATGGTCAACCTGACAATGAAGTAAGCTAAGTTGTTGTAATTTTCCATTTTGTTCACTTTATAAATTTGATAAAAAATCTCATCATTAGAGTAACGAATTTGATTTATTCATTTTCAAAGGAAGCAGCCCTTGCATTGGCTGATGCTGCACAAGAAAGATTAGAACTAGAAAATAAACTGATGGCCTTACAAGCCAAAAAGGAACAAATGGACTCACTACTCAGAGAACTGCAGCAGCTACGAGAGACACAGTTAAGAAAAGGTAAATGTAACTAACAGTTGTAATACCTTTAAGAGGTACATGCACATCATTTAATKAAGTAAAATTGTACTTGTAAACTTTTATGATGATATTAATTMCATTGCAGTTGCTAAATGATATTAGAACTGTATTGTATTGTACCTTATGGCTTATCTATTCTCTGCAGAATCAATAGAAGCAAGAAAACCTCATGTGTCCAGTGTCAATGTGGCCAAGAAAGACAACAGTGAAGAAAAGCCTCTTGCAACGACATCACAAAAACTAGATGATGACAGTATATTAGAAGCTTTAGAAGTACATCAGAAACTTAAGTAAGATACTTACAATAATCACCCTCCAGCACCTAAATTTTCTACAATATCTCTCTATTTCTTGGTACCACCTTCAATACTCCAAGACTGATTTAAAACTCAGACCCTCAGACCTCAAAGTGACAATTTGTTGGCGTGCAGTCTCATATTGCAAAACAACATGGTGAACTATAGTCTCCTATACAATGCCTGTTAATTTTGATTATTTTATTATGAATCATAGGAGACTTCAAGATGTTAGGCAACATTTGCAGCAACTGAGAGATATGATTGGTCAATATCAGGTACCAATATGATATAATATTGTATACCCTACTAAATTGTTGATTGATATACTGGCCGTCTCAGGTCTTCTTGGACAACAGTGAGTTGTCCAAGAGATTGTTGTTGTTGTTGTTGTCGTTTAGGTAGATTTCATTGTGAGAATAAAATTGAGTATAAAATGCGTGTCAGTATTTTTCATTGTACATTTTCTTTTGTGTTATGATAATACTAAAGCAAACAGAAAATGGTGAAGTGAGTTCAGCTATGGCTGCAGAAGAGGACAGTGCTCCAGAATCTGGTCGAGATGATGAAGAAGAAGGTGCTGTTGGAGGTGTTCTGCCTGCTACAATTGAACAAGATAACAGTAATGTTGATTGGATATTGAATTATGGCTTTGAAGATCCAGAACTCATCAATAAGTTGAGGTACTACACGTAATAATTATTTGCTTCATAATTCATGAACCTGATTCTTCTTCAACTGTTATTGTGAGTAAATATCAACTAATATTAATTTTTAAATTGAAAGACAACTTCAGGCTGCAAGAGAAAGGGTGATGAATCTGAAGCAAACAAATCAAACAGTTCAGGTATGTATCCATGTTCTTTGGTTTAATAAATAAATTGATTGACAATTTGATTGATTTGTTAGTTAACTGATTGATTGATTGATTAGTTGATTGATTGACTGTTTGGTTGATTCAATGGTTGATTCATTGGCTAATTGGTTGGTTGTTTTCTTGAATGGTTGGTTGATTGATCAATTGGCTATTTGATTGATTGATTGATCAATTGTCCATTTATTGAATTGACTGTTTGATTGGCCATTAAATTAATCAATTGATTGATTGATGATTACTTGTCATTTTCAGTTGCCAGTTGGTACMTCAAGATTTCATAATGAGACTAACATTCAGCAAGCATCACAAAGCCAAACAGAAGAGTCTGACACAGATGGTACCACTACTGAGACTGAGAGTAATGCAAGCTCAAGTGTTAATGCAATGGCTTGGCAGGATGACCCTGAATTCCAGGATAAGATCAGGTATGACGAGGTATCAGTGAAAACATCAAATAATAATGAAAAATAAGAAAGAATGGGAGAAAACCTTTATTTTTTGCAAAAGACTCAAAGGTTGTGATAAACATATGTTAACTTSAACACTTGCTAATATTTGTGATGCATTTTGCTCRTTTAGGAAGCTGAAATCAGCAAAAAAGAAGCTGAAACAGCTGCAAGAGCTTGTAAAAAGGGTGCATCAGGTAGATTCAACTACTTAGTGTAGAATACATGTTTTTGTTACAGTTTGTTGGGTCTCACTTGTAGCCAGTTATCTTTATTATTAGTGGCAATGATGGTTATAGGTTGTCAATGACAACAAAAATAAGTAAAGAATGACTACCCTATTTTGATTGGAGAAGTGATGAAAATCTATGCTTACATTAAGTCAAAGGTTACATAAAATAATATGAATCAAGGTATACAAACTATTTGTACAGTACCTACAATGTAATTGGTGCAATAAAGCTATTAACAAATGCTGTTCTTGAACAATAAATTTTGTATTGATTTAATAACTTTTCTATCAGTTCCCTGATTCTGCACCAGTGTTGCCCACTGAATTAGCTGAATTAAGTTTTGATGAAGTTGATGACGACGACGAGGAAGACTCAAGTGAATCTGATTATGATGAAGATGAAGACAATGAAGAAGTTGATGGTAACCAGGATAGTGAGGGTGCTAGTGTACAAGAAGACCAGTCCAGGGATTTACCTGATGACACAGGTAGGACTTATTGTAACTTTGTAATTGATACATTGCTTGTCATTATCGAGTACCTCCTTGATCCTCATAAAGAGAGATCTGACAATAGAATAATTCTAAATTATAAAGTCATGCAGGTCTTGATTATGTATTGTCCTTTGRYGACTGGCAGATCACCACATGCGTTATTATGAAAATTATTTCATATTTTCGTTATTTTTTATCAGTAAGTGAGCAAGAAGCTGAATATCAAATTCGCCTTCAAAAGCAAAAGAATGAACTAGCCAGYTTACTTGAGGAGCGTAGAAGACTAATGGAAATGCAGCAGGAACTGAGTAGATTAACACAACAGCAACAACAATCAAATGTTGAACAACAAACTGTACCAATCATAAAGGTACTAGTATGACTTTGGGCTACCTGTGTATTTCTATATGKCTAATCCAATCTTMAAATTTGTTGATAGACTGAGCKAGTTGAAGCTGATGCTACTACTGAYTCCAGACCRACCYCCTGGAACAGAGCCTCACCAAGTCTTATAAGAACAGATACCTTTACTGTACATAGACCAACAGTACCAATCATCTCAAGTAGACATGTGAATGACAACTCCACCCAGACACCTACCTTTGAGAACCCTACCGTAGGGAAAAGCAAGYCCAGCAAGGTGTATTCTGTAGACTCAAGTGAGGCTGCAAGAGGTTGGTTTGATTGTTGACTCTTTCCTTTGTTCTTGTGATGTTCATTTCTCCATGGCATTTTATGCCATGCTATTTAAAAGAAGTATTATCAGCCCTTCTTACAACACAGACACTTCGGGGACTGTAAGGCTAAGTGCCCAATATTATTGCATCTGCTTTTTAGTGTCTATGACAATGGAGTGTCCCCAGGGGCCGGGACGTTCAAAGCTCCATTAGTGCTGATCCTGTCTAACAAAAACCTATGGGACTAACCTTGGATTAATGCGAATCAGGCTTTGATCAACCTGGCTCAGCAAATTATGTTCATTTTAAGCTGTCTTTTTGACATGTTTGTTATTTGTGGTAGCTGCACCAACGTCCAGTGCTTTAGTGTGGTCAGAACTAAGAAGACAAAGAGAACTTCACGAAGAAAAACTAAAAAAGCGTAAACATCGTCTTRTGAATGAAAAACGAAAGAAGGCAGGCCTTGATGATGTATCTGAAGGAGGAACGTATTCATTGAGAAGTGCTGACATTGATGAAGGGTTTGGTGTTAGTATGATGAGTGCTGATATAACTACTGCWACATGGGGAGGCTCAACACAGCCCAGTAGTACACAGAATGATTCTGCTGTCTCTGAAGATGGATCTGAAACAGGCAATCAAGAGGTATTAAAACATTGATTTATTATCTGTTGTTTTTGCTTATTGTCTGCTTGTTTTGTTGATCTTTTCAGTCTTTGTTCTTTTATTTTCTTTGTCTTCTTTTTCTTTTATTGTTTTAAGTGTTTTATTTTGAACAATTATTTTTATTTTGTATATTCATCGCCCTCTTTAGTGGCACTTTTGTTGGCGCTTCACTTTTGTTGTTTAGATGGTTGTTTTTTTTTGTCTCTTTGCTATTTTGATCTGTTATTCTGTGTGTTTGACAATTGATGTCTTGCTTCARAGTAAATTATGAACATTTGAATTATTCTTTTTCACAGATTGCTGTAGAAGTAGAAGATGATTACCCTGATGGTATCGTCCAGGCAGAGGAAGAAGAAGAACAAGATGATCCAGGTAGTTATCCCAGGGATGTRGCTGACGTGTTTAGAAGTAGAGAACGTGTACCAAGAAGCTTTCCAAGTGGTAACTCAAGACCWCCCAAAAAACGTGAGTTGACGTTATTATGCTATAGATTTGATAGTGAAGTTTAAGTTTGCCTCAAATGCATTTTATTAGCATTCACATGGACTAAAGTTGTAATGTTATATATGATATTTATAATGTTGATCTCTGTGTTTGTTAGTCAGTTTATACTGTGTTATGTTGTGGTTCTCTAGGGGGCAGGGGATCCAAAGGACTAACATTTGCCTGGCCAAAGATAGGTTCTGATAAATCTCCAAGACGCCCAAGACAACAGGTTAGTTGATATGCCAGCAGAACATTTTTCTGTTGCTGTTGGTATAATAAATATAATTTTMCTCCTTTCAGAATTTTATTCCATCAGAGGGTTTAATTGAAGAACGTGAACGAGAACAGTTCATTCAAGAAAGACAAGCATGGGAACAACAGTGTGGTCAGCTGCATGGAGAAGTGGCAAAGCTGACTGATATGTGTAATAATCTCTTAAGAGATCAACAAGCATTGATATCAGCTTTAATTGGAAGAAATAACCTGCCTGGTGCTCCACCCATGCCAGCSATGTCCCCACCAACAGGTACTAATTAATTCATGATTATTTCTGAAACTATACATTTTGGTTTTAATTCATTTTTGATTCTGTTATGCAGCTAATACAAATCCCTTCAGTCAGTACCAACAAAAAGAACAAAARGCATACCAAAGCCTACAAAGCTACTTTGATCAACAACGATACCTAATCCAGCATCAACAGCTACTYCAAACATTGAACCAATGCTATTCACAGCTTCATCAACAGCAACTTGACCTTGGCTTTTTACAAGGACAGTTTCAACAGCTGTTCTCTAGTGGTGCAAGTCCTGCTGGTCCATCTTCRYTACCTGGTTATGTGCCACCTGGCCGAAGCTCCACCAATCCTTTTGTTGGTCAAAACAGTGTACCCRCATCCACAAGCTTCCCGTCACTGCATGCTTACTCAAATCCATCCATGTTCCCAAATCCTTCRGTTTCAACATCAAGTTCATTCAACTTTTCTCCATTTCAAGTGGGTGGAACAAGTGAGACCCCTGCTGGATTCACCCCAGCWACTCTCAATCAATCAGACTTACAATGGCCAACAACTTCACAGCCAGTGTCACAAGCAGGCAACCTACGTGCACCAAGCTGGATGCCTGTGTTTACTGATCCYTTTAAATTTCCATCACAAAGTACACAGACTGATCATATTGCTAATCCTGATACTGGAGTTCCTAGTCCTAGGTACAGTGGATTGGGTAGTTATGGGTCACCTGTCACTAGTTCTGCTGGATTTGGAGCACCTATTGCACCTCTTGCACCCAGTTCACTCAACAGTAGTGGAGTACTAAAGAATTATAATCCTTCCGCTTATGCAGGTAATAGCYGACTTGCCTTTATATGTGTATATTGTATAAGATGTTTGTGAAGATCACTGGCATTAACTACTTATTATCAAATAATTTTTATAATCACTCATTGTACTCTGCAATATCCCTGTGAATTTCTGCAAGTAAACAAGCTTTTTACGTGTGTGCTTTACCGTTTACTTCTTGTCCTCAACATTTATGTTGCAATTTGTCTTAAGTAAACATTAAAAAATATATCATAAAAGTAACTGATGTTCAATGTTTAAGAACATCTGGCATGTTGAGATTGATACAGAAAGCCTCTACTAGTAAAACCTTCCCTTTTATGATAGAAGCGTCAGGTGCTGTCATATCTTCTACCAAACAGTCTAAAGCARCYGATGCAGTTGGTCGYTCTTTRCCAACACCRCTTAGAGCACATGCTGCAGCTAATCTTGCCAAYAAGGACCGTTCTTCTCTAAAACGAGGTCATGAATCTGTAGAGACTTCATCAAGGACCTCTAGTGTACCAGGAGATGAACCAAATAAAGGGTAAGCTATTAATTATGTCATAGATAACACTTGTAGCTGGCTAAAAACTGTTAAAATGGAGTCTTCAGGAATCATCTTTTACACATATCGGGTGCCACGGGTGGCCCAGTGAGTTTGTTTGATGTGTTGTTCTCTCCCTTGCCACAAGGGTTTTTCTCRGGGTCCTCRGGTTTTCCTCCCTCAGRAAAAATCAACATGTGAGGAGTGTTGTGTGCTAAAATACTTAATGTAGAGGTAGTGAGTGTGAGGGTCACAAGTTCATCAGTTCTTTACTGTCACGTGTCTACCCTCTTAAAATAAAGTCAATTTTTTAGTGTTACTAAAGGACATGCATGTGATGGAGTGCCGGCATAGTAGTWGATGCATTACTAATAATGTTCTTTTTTAATTATTTTCAAAGGACGAATCAAGACATTGATCGGTAAGTGTACAGTTCACCCTGTTGCCTGTATTTTCAATTTACCTATTAAGTGTGTTTGTGTGTTACAAAACAAACATTCATATGTGGAATATGTGAATTAATGTTACATGATGCTATTTCCACAGAGCTTCTGATGCTGGTAGRGAGTTTTCATTGTTTGAGGCTTTGAGGGATTCTATTTATTCTGAAGTAGCTACTCTTATATCACTMAATGAATCAAGGCCACACTTCTTGGTGAGTTATTCACTATTGCAATAAGTTCAATGATGACTGCTTTACATGTAGYTGATGATATACCCCAAATCCTCTAGTTCATAAAATAGTCTATGCTTGTACATTATCAAACTTGTTTGTGTCCTTGCCAATTGAGATCTTTCATTGATTGGATAACTTGGGAGGGCAAACTCACAATAGTTTATTTAGAATGACTGTTTTTCAAAAATAAGAWATAYTGTTYRTTCATGARTWTGACTAACAATAATGCATTTCAATYATAGATTGAATTGTTTCGAGAGCTTCAACTTTTAACGTCAGACTACCTTCGTCAACGTGCCTTGTATGCCCTGCGMGACATTGTTACYAGYTTTCTCACTGAAGACACTYTAGCAGCTGGAATTGRGGACAAGTCATTGCAACAAGCTGTAAGTTCCTATGRAATCCTTAGTAAGAAATCTAGCATGCTTTCTCATATACTGTGATCATGTGATATCACAGAGATTCCAAGCCTGGGCTGGATCAAACTCTGAACTAACTCCCAGTGAGACAGTAGAGACATCTGAAGATGAGGTAAGATTATATCGCTAATAGAGCTAATGCAAGTTAGTTTTCAAAATTCTATTCTAAAGTTCATTAATTAAACTTGCAAAATACTTTGTAAGAAATTAGACATGTTTGGGGTAATAAATACAATAAAAAGCAAAAGATTTTGTGCTAATTTGTACAATTTTATCATTCTACAAACTATTTGACAGTAGTAATGAATGCACTCCAATGAGCAACATTTGTTACTTTATTGTCAACAGAGTAGAGACGAGGCAGAAGCAGCTCAAGTTGTTACAGAAGGTATCTATGATTATGCAGAGAATGCAGAGTCTGGMAGTACTCTCTCAACACCTACATCAAGTCATACTGGTGACCCACCCTTTGCCTCCGACGGCCTTGGGGAAACAGTCATTCATTTTGATCAGGTACAATAATATATATTGTTTGACCAAAGACAAACTTATAATATCACAGAATACAATAATGACCAAAAGCAAAAGATTATTTAGCCGTGAATTTGGTGTGTGTGAGATTCCACATTTGACCCACATTTCTATTAATTAATGTAACACCATCACACTATTGGTAATGATCACTTACAGACATTAAAGGGACACTATTACCTCGAAGGTAATACTTTCAAAGTCCGGTCATCCATTGACATTGTCCCTTTAATTGGTCATGTCTTGGCTTCTACCAGAAAAAAAAGGCAGAATTTATTTTGGGAGCCCWAAGGGAGACTTTTGGCTGTTCTTGTAAGAATATTTAATAGACAGTTCTCTTGTTATCAAGTTACATTAAATTATGTCCATTCTTTTTTTATTCATTCATTTATTTATTTATTCACACATTTTGTTCATTCATTTATTTGTGTCTTTGTTTTTTTATTATTTTTAGACACTGAGTAAAATGCGTGAATATGAYCGTCTTCGTGAGCAAGGCAAGCTCACTCAGTTAAAAAAGTTTTCATTCAAGAATGATGCTATGGGAGCTGCCGCTAATCGAGGTATTAAAGATGATGTAACTACTAGCTCTGCTGGAGATGTTGGTAGTGATTCATCATTCTCAGATATTCAGGTAAATATCAATGTTGGTGGTGTTTTTTGCCTTTTTTGGTGTGAGTTTTACGCAGCAAATGAATGTTAGAATGTTGGATCTGCCATCAACTCTTTTGGCTAATAGTGCTTTAACTGTTTGGTCACGTTCTTTGAAGTCTGTTAAAGACATTCATGATCAAACTCCATATTGTTTTGCATACAAGAATTTATTTGAGATTCAACAATATAATCATATGATATGCACAGCATTGTTTGATGGCATTAAAGTGATTCAACATAACATCTCGTTTTATCATTATTTCTAATATTTCTAGTCTTTCACGATTTATATCAAGTTGCTATAACACAAAACTATGTTTTATTGCAGTATCCTCGTATTGATACCCAAGCACTYGATCATCAAATCAAGTCAATCATGTCGGTGAGTTACAATTCATTTGTTGCAGCAATTTTAACAAATACACTGATTTGATTCTCCTCTTCACAGCCATAAACAGCTTCATTGTACTTAAACGTCTATAAGTTTTTCATGCCTTTACCCTTGGTAGTCGTCTCCGAATTTATCACTGCTATTCTCATTATTTTCTCGTTCTTGGATTTATGATGTATAATATATTCATTATATTTTTATAACAAGAGAAGTAATTTTGTTTAAAAGTTTGGTAGTTGCCTGGGAAGGACACTACTTATATTCTAAGTCACTTTGAAACTTTAGCTTTAATAGGATTAAACCAAGGACCGAGAAGAACTATGTACAATTGATACAAATCGAGTAATAACATGACTTCAATATTTTAATATTTTGTACATTAGGAAGTTATTCCATACTTAAATGAYCACATGGAAGACTCTTGTACAGCTGATCTTCTTGGGTACATACGCGGTCTTGTGTTATCAAGAATACAAGTCCGAGATGAACAGGTAAGTGGCACAGTAGTTGTAAAGAAGTGGTATTGAAAGAATGAACAAATGAAAGGATGGAGGGAGGGAGGGAGGGAGGGATGAAAGGATCAAGTGTTGAATATTAGCGTACACTTTCAGTTCTCCTGATTTAATTAATGTATCTTCATTTGTCACTCCTGTATTATATCATAAATCTGATTTTCCGTGCCTCCCGTCCACAGTGATACTGCAATTTTTCAATAATTATAAGTTTTTAGTTTGACAATAATGAAATGTTGTTGTCGTCGTTGTTGTTTGCTTTCCGAATAACGTTTCCCTATTTTCTTTCACAGGAATTCGGTCGATTTTTTCACAAACAGCTAGCCTCAATATTGCAGGACTCTCTRTCAAAATTCCAAGAAAAAAAGTAAGTAAAAAAATCAACGTATAATTCCATGTCTTGTCAAGTTAACTGAACAATGTTTTGCTGGACTAACCTCTCTGRAACAGGCACCAGAAAGGACGGTTCTAGGGTCCGTATTAACGAGATCATATTGTACTAATATTATGTACTGTGATAATCTGTAGGATGAAAGACTGTGGTGAAGATATGCTTGTGGATATGTCAGAGATTTTGTTCAATGAATTAGCCTTCTTTAAACTTATGCAAGWCCTTGACGGGTAAGATTTTTATTGCTTTTCAATGTAAAGAAGCCTGAAGTGTATGCCCTACCCATATGGGGGCAAAATAACAAGAGAGGAAGAGCCTGCAAGCATCGCTTTTCCTAAGAGCATGTACCCATGTTMTGTATTTTGCGAGAGATAATCTAGGAGCCTGTAACTGAAACAAGSAAAGAATAACATTATAAATTGCTTAATTACACTCCCATGCAGCTCCCAGCGRTTCACTGTATATCAGAAACAATTAGTGTTTCTCGTTACAGGAACAGRGCAGGRAGTAGAGAGCCATTTTGGAGACAGGTATGTGAATGCCATGAAGGAATGCCAGGAATCACTTAAATGATCTTTCTGACAAATAAAGACTGTCATTTTCTGTACCAATTGTTGTACAATGATATCTGGTGATTATYTATTTCTTGTACTAAATAGGAAAGCCAAAGCGGTACTGACACAGGAACCGGTCAAGAAGCCGATAAAGAAGATGAAGGTCAAGATGAAAAACCCGAGGACAGGTAAGACTGGTGACTAATAAGCAAAGCAGTAAGTCACATTGGTATGCTAGTTGAATAAGTACTGGTAGATAGCAGTGTCTACTTACATATCATTGGGCGCCGAATTGGAAAACATAGGATTAAATCAATTAAAAAAATTGTACCAGAAGGAAAGTTCCAGCACCATTTCAATTCAATTTATGTAGATCAAAACACACTCTAATTTCAGTGCTACCGAAGAAACAGAATCCACAATGAGGGAGAAAACTGAAGAGAATGGTGAAAGAAAAGATGATGATAGCGACAGCAGTGACGATGAATCATCATCAWCATCTGAAGACTCTGAAGCTGAAGACGAGGCTACAGGGGGTGATGACGAAGGTGCTGAAGAAGACGAACCAGCACCCATTACTAAGGAACAGAAGGAAGCAGAGGAAGAGGCTCTTGGAAAGGTGTGTTTGTCAATNAAAGAAAATCAATCAGACAGCAAATATTTTCGGAACTTCCCTTGTTAAGACACAAAAATGACAATTTTCTGGACCGGAAACTTCAACTAGAGGGTCTCAATAGAGTAGAAAGTACGCATCACGACTAACGGCTAAAAATTTGGCTATTTCACGACACACGACTAATTTTTTCGAATCACGGTGAACTAGATTGCTTTGAGAAATTTTGAAATGAAAACAACCTTTTTCATTACTTTTCCATGTATTTTTTTGTGCTATACATGGTAAGCGTTGGAGCAGTGTCACCCCTTGTTTTTAGGTGCGATTCATTGAATTTTAAGGGGATGGGGGTAGTGGAAGATATTGGCAAAATATTCCTGCGCAGCCCGAAGGGCCGAAAAATATTCTTGCAAGGCAAAATTTGAAAAGCTTGTAAATTTACAAAAAAATTACAATTGCGCGCCTGGAGTTGTCTGTCCTCCTGAGGAATAAAACTGAATCACGGCTCACGCTTTAAAATATATTCACGCCTCACGGCTAATTTTTTCTCCATTTCATGACTCACGACTAATTTTTCACCCGTTTCACGACTCACGGTTAAACCCATTGAGACCCTCTTACTACCCGGCATATCACCGGAAATAGTAGCCATTTTGTCAACAAACCACGCACGCAAAGCATAAAGGGATACTACTGATATAGATCGACTTAATGAACAATGGCAAAGCACTGGTTGGGACGCGTCGTAGAATGTCACCAGGATCATAAATTTTCCATATTATAAATATTTTCATTGAAAAAATGATATAAGTAATGTTTACAACATGAGCGGCCGTGTTGTATGGGATTTTACAATCTCGAGCCGAAGGCGAGAGATTGTAAAGCCCATACAACACGAACGCGAATGTTATAAACGACTTATAAAACTCCAACACTAATTAATATGAATTACAGTGAGATAAATGACGAAAAATGACAATTAAGGTAACTGCTGAATTTAGTCGCTATTAAGCATGCGCAATTTACTGCAACACAGAACATTTTGAATAACATTTTTTTTTGATCGATCGTCTCGACGTCAAGAGGCGAAACAATAAGAACGATCGAGGATGGAGATTAAATGGCTGGTTTTACTAGTTGTTTGCGGTTCCGTGACGCTCGTAGAATCGGCTGTGARACTAGCCCAAAATAAACGAGACGAAATAATCAACACGAAGTACCAAGAACATGGACGAGGTAAACGCTTTCTCTCGGCGAAAATCCTGTACACTGTAAATGGGACTAGTTATTATCAACTACATCGTATCATACAAAGTGGKGATGTTCACCCTCATCCAGGTCCTCCAAAGACAAGAAATGTAAAATATCCTTGCAAAGAATGCCAAAAAAGTGTCCGATCAAATCAAAATGCAATATTGTGCGCACTATGTAATCTATGGTCTCATGCAAAATGTATTGGTATTACAAGGGATCAGTTCAAATTCTATTTAGAGAATCCGCTACTTGACTGGACATGTGCGTGGTGTTCTCTACCATTCAGGGATATTGATCTTCAAAGAGAAGAAGAAGACGAAAAAGAAATTTTATTGGATTCAACTATGGAAAACTCAAAGATTGACGAGCCTAACGTCGAATATGCAAATACTGAGGACAAAGAAGATAATCCGTTGGGAGATGAAATATCAAAAATAATCTCAGTAAGACAAAAGAGCACTACAAGTCCACTTATAGTGCATTTAAATATCAATAGCGTTCAAAATAAACTGGAGGAACTGCAATCATATATAAATAAACTTAAAGCTCAAGTTGTGTTTATAACTGAATCTAAGATAGACTCTACATATCCTAACAGMCAGTTCAAAATAGATGGATTCAATCTATACAGGAAAGATCGTAAGAAAGGTGGAGGAGGCATTATGGCCTACTTCTCGTCTAAGATTATATCTAAAAAGATCAAAACTCCTAACAATTACCAAACGCGTTTGAATCTCTTGTCATCAGGTCGAAGATTGGTAACAAGGATATACTGTTTATTGGCATGTACAGACCTCAAAGACCTCCGAACGCAGTCAGGAATGATTATTATATGAAACTGGAAGATGAATTAAATGATATCGTTACGTGGGCCTCTATTCAGACAAATTTCATAGTTCTACTGGGAGATCTTAATCTTGATCGTTTAAAACCTGACCTCAGGGAAGGAAAAATTCTCTGTGATATTGAGGATATACATGGCCTTACGTGTTTAGTTACAAAGCCTACACGAATAACGGAGAACAGTGAGACTCTACTTGATGTAGTACTAACTAATAAACCTCAACTATTTAAAGAAACTTGTGTTTATGATCCAGGACTAAGTGATCATGCAATGACTATAAGCATTATGAAAGGCAATGTAGTTCATCACCCTAACAAAGTTGTCACATTCAGGAACCTAAAGAAAATTGACGAAGAGAAATTTTGCGAAGACCTTGAGTTGGCTCCCTGGCATGTTGGAGAGATCTTTGACTGTATTGATGATAACTGCTATTATTGGGAATTACTACTTAAAAGTATCATAGATGAGCACGCACCACTTAAACGCAAGAGAGTAAGGGAAAAGGATGTCCCGTACATGACTAAAGAATGGAAGGATGCAATCAGGAAAAAACGAAAGTACTCTAGGAGGTTTCAAAAAAATCCAACAAGCGAAAATCGTGAAAATAAGAACAAATGGAGGAACACTGCAACTAAACTAAGGAGAAAAGCAATCAAACAATACTGGAGTAAAGTAACTGATGATCTCAATGCAAAACCAAGTGAGTTTTACAAAACATTCAAACCTTTTTTGGATAATCGTTCTAAGGATAGTGATAAGCAGATTACACTTGAATTAGATGGACACACCATCAAAGATCAGCCAAAAGTCGCCAATTGCTTCTTAAATTATTTCACTTCGGCAGCAAATGGGATAGGAAACACGCAATTACTGAGTCTATCAGAGGAACAGTTCAAAAGTCACGAAAGTATCCTTAAAATCGAAAGCAACAATAACATAGTACACGGCCCTAAACTGGAAATTGCAAAACTAAAATGTGGGGAAGTACAAAAAGCCTTGAGTGAGCTCAACCTGAAAAAAGGAGTTGGACATGACAAAATACCTAACATGGTCTTAAAGTTAGGGTGCAATMAGCTTGCACCTTCATTAACGACAATCTACAATAGATGCATAGATGAGAGTTACTGGCCTAGTGAATGGAAGAAAGGGGAATGGGTACCAGTATTTAAAAAGGACAATATTCATGATATCAAAAATTATAGACCAATCACGTTACTACCAACTTGTGACAAGGTTTTTGAAAAATTCTTAAGTGATCAGGTAATAGCCTTTATGGACCAACGACTCAGCAACAACCTCACGGCATACCGCAAAAAGCACAGCACAGAAACTACTCTGATTAACATTGTAGAACAATGGAAACACGCGATTGACAATAGAAATATGGTGGGAGTGCTATCTACTGATATGTCTAAGGCGTTTGACTCATTACACCCTCCTCTGCTGTTAAATAAGTTAAAGGCTTATGGATTTTCGGATGAATCTACCAAACTTATCCGTTCGTACTTTASAAAKAGACAATATCGAGTGAAAATGGACGAAGGTTGTACAAGTGAATGGAAAGAAATGGGAAGAGGATGCCCGCAGGGGTCGACATTTGGCCCACTGCTGTGGAACATTTTTCAAAATGACCTTACGTATGATATGAATAAAAGCAAATTATCAATGTATGCAGATGATCATCAGATTTATGCASCTGGTCCAACTTTAGAGGATGTACAGGACATACTGAATAATGAAGGCAGAGTTATATCTGAATGGTATGACAGTAATCTGTTACAAGGAAACTTCGCAAAGTATCAAACAATGAGTATGGGAACTAAGACAAAGAACAAAGATATGACAATCTCTATGGCAAACAAAAACATAACACGCAATTCTGAAATGAAATTACTAGGACTGACTATTGATGAAAACCTCGACTTTAGAACACACATAGCAGAAGTGTGCAAGAAGGGTGCAAGGAAAGTTGGGGTACTGATGAGACTAAGGAACATGCTGCCTATCAGGTGTAAGATGACAATTTACAAAACAGTGATTCTACCTCAGTTAACTTACTGTCACACTGTCTGGAATTTTTGTCGTGCGTCAGACAGTAGAAAACTGGAACGTTTGCAAGAAAGAGCGTTAAGGGCGATTTTCAACAAGAAAACGCAAAAATCATGTACATATGAGGATCTACTTGCTATGGCAAAGATACCTACACTAAAGAACAGGAGATTACAGGATATAGCTAAAATTATGTATAAAGTTAAAAATAGAATGTGCCCAAATACTCTGCAGGACATTTTTATCAAGAACACTAGGAGTTATAATCTTAGAAACAATGAATTTTTCATACCGAGATTTAACACAGTAACCTATGGGAAACATAGCTTGAGGTATTTGGGACCTTTAATTTGGTCTAAACTTGATAAAACAATACGTAATGCTGAAACGTTTGAATCTTTTAAAAAACTAATCCGATCGTCAGATCTTGATAGTAAAATTAATACTAACTGTACAAATTGTCTTTTGTGTTCTTGTTAATTAACTACTATATAATTACTAATCACTAGTACTATTTGTATGGGTACTTATGGGGAGGGACTGCATTCTAGTATATATTATCTTTTTATATATTATAACTAGCTTAGATAGGTGTCCCCAATTAGCCTTACTATTGTAAGCTAGATAAATCTGACACGTAAATAAAGTTTATTNGATAGTAGTGATAGTGATGGCAGTGATGATGATGCACCACAAGATGATCAGGCTACAGCACGACCAGAACATCTACAGAACGGACAGGTATGACACCCGTTAAAGATACAATAGCTCAAACGTTCACTTTTGAACTTTGCCTTCTGTTTACACGGGTCTGTTGTGGACTATTTCTACTCTAGCTATGATCTCATACCATTGCGTGTTTTTATATAGACATGATRGCYTTATCAGGTGRGAGAGRCCTTATCGTCTTAGGCCACGTGCACARTGAAAATCTTTGAATCCGAATACTTGTGTGCAAATTCGGCAAAATTRTAATTTATCCGGATACGTGTGGACAAATACTTGGCCTCCCTCGCAGCCGTCTCATGCAGAGTACATTATAGTGTTGTGTACGTACCGGTGTGCTCTAATATCTGTCATTATCTCTGTGTTTTRATTCAGACCCAAGAAGAACATGATGAAGTGGTTATTGACGATTTACCAACAAAACTTACTGGATTAACTGAAGTATGCTTTTTTTCTGGTCAATAATGACCATCTTCTATTTGCCAAAGCAATATAATATACCGTACACCGATACCTTGTCCGATTTGAAAAATAGAATCTGTTAACAATTTTTTTTGTTTGTTTTATAAGGCTGATCTTCAAGCTCGTATAGCAGAGGAACAAAGTCGAACGCAAGGTGTCCAAGCAGTCTTCGAACATATAGCTGGTGCGCATGGTCAGTGCCATGGAACATTAGATCATAAGAATAGAATTAGCATGATAAACTAGTTTTTATCGGTATTTTTGTTGCGCAGTTTTGGTTTTTTGTACACATTGTTATTGATAACAGAATTTGTTTTTGTGTTTGCAGAATTAGCAGGAGACCCCAATGCATTGCGTGAACCAGGTACTAAACTACTTTCTCAGTACAACGCCCTTTATTCCATTTCGTCCAAAGAATCTATCCCTTCTTCTTAATTACAGTAGTTTGCAGTCTTGCGAGTCAACATAAGGCGGTTACATGCTCTATTTTGCACTCCTAGGGAGAGAGCTAGCATGCACTGTGTTATGTCTCCTCAACAATTCATTTTACGACATTTCTGAGTGGGGAGAGCCTACGTAGTACTCAGTTGATGTAATATATTCATAAAGATATAATACAAAACACATAATACAATAGAACGAGAAACAATGGAATACAATACATTTTATGAATACATTACATCAACTGCGTGCTACGTAGGTCTCCCCTTTCTGAGTGTCTAAATCTCTCCCCAGGTCCTCACGTGCCCCTTATTACACGAAGGCCTGATACCGTGGTCTTATCGCAATGTAATGGCCAAACACTTCTAATGCTTTTCCCTTTCTCCACAGAGAGTACAGTGAACGGTTCACCTGAAGGCGAGAAGTAGATGTGTTGTATCCATATATCATTTACTGGACGTTCTATTGGACGTTGACTACATATTTATTGATCGCTCCTTTTATCGCGAGATATAAGATCACCGATGTATGTCTACAACCGCTATTGTATGATTAATTTATACTGGTTTACGAAAAGGTTAAAATTCATTGTTAGTGGGTATTTGTACCATGTACAAATGTACTGTTGCTGTTTCGTACTGAAACGCTGCCCTCTTARTCATGCTTTTTGTCTCGTGAAAACGAGGCTAAGCGGTTTTATCAGTAGTAGGGACGATCAGTTTTCTATTCGGTGAATGTATCGGTCATTTTTGTATATAATCATTAATGTTAACGATGTGATGTGACTTTACACAAGGCYTCATTTAAAGTAATGTTAGGACAATCCTCAGACGTGTTCTGTGGAATTGAATAACGCGAATATAATCGCTTGAACAATCTATTCACCAAGTGCCTACCCACCGGCAATCAATATTAGTGGGTATTAATTGATCTCGTTTGTACTGATGCGTTTTTGTTGTGTTTCTCGTCCCTTTGACAACAGAGCGATACAAAAACGCATAAGAAAACGCATGAGTGAACGAGGCCTCGGCACACGAAGAGTTCAAATAGGAAAGTAATATTGTTGACTGTTTATAAATGTTTGTTACTACTTTGCATGCTCGTCTTGATGATAAGACAGTAGTTGTTTACACATGTCTTTAATCCTTATAATTTAGACTTAGGGGTTTTATCAAGTGTGAAATATATTTATTACAAAATTGACGTGGAAAAGCTATATTAAATTTTGAAGCTTTTACATTGTTTGAACTATCGCTGTAGTTTACTTATAGAGTTGTTACACTTAACCCGTGAAACACTAACCTAATTTTGATACTTCAGCTGAATGAACAAAGATACAAGGCCAGTAGTCTACTATTTCATTGGTTAAGTGTAACGACAATTTCTAAATAGAGTGAAGTCATTAGAGTGGTTGTCATTAACCCGTGAAATAAATTTTAGRTTCTACACTTTATTACGCTTTCTTTTACCGTTCTGCGTTGTGTTTTTTGCTTCATCACACTTTATAAAGGTTTATTCATTCATTTATTTATCACTTTTTTGACTATTACACACTTTCTTTCARGGATTAATGAAAAAACGACTCTAAATCTATCAGACTAAACTAAACTGCAGTATTCGAGCACGTTGCGCATTTAAACTCATTCAWTGGTGACTTAAAACAGTTTACCCATCATTCTCTTGCGTGGACAATCTCGTACCCAGACCCTGCGTTCTCTTTTGGTCAGCGACGAGAACTAGTTCTGGGTACGAGATTGTTGCGTGGAGCGCGCGCGAACTCTGAGCATGCGAAAGATCTACATATCAGCGCGCATTACTTACGTCACAATCAATCGATTCTAATCTCTGGCTGCAATGAATCCACTAAGACGATCGTCTGTTGATCAGTGGTTTCATAGTGTCAAGAAAGGCAATGTTGCGGCATTACAAAGAATCCTTGATCGTAAGACGGTCTGGAATATTGATATTCGCGATGATAAACTACGCTCAGCGTTATACYTTGCAGCAGAGGTGGGCAATCTGGAGTGTGTACAGAAGCTGTTGAATCATGGAGCTGATCCCAATAGGTTCGTTTCTTATATAAAACTATCTTCGGTTTTTCAACACTTCAATTTTGGTCTTGACTTGTTAGCGAGAATGGACATGAAATACTGCTGGCGTGGGCTAATTATGATTGCATTGTTTTTTCAGCTCGGTATTTTCTTGTTTTTGTTTATTTTGTGATTTTCGGAAAGTTTCACCTGTTTTTCCATTCGTAGGACAAGGCGCGGTTTTGCGAAATGTAACAAAATTAATTTTTTTCCACAATTGTGAATTTATTGTGTGCTGATTGGCTCATTTGGTGAAAGAGGACATACAGCTGAAAACCACTCATGCGCAATTTGTTAAAACGTTTTTGAATTGTTTTCATTGACGATAACACAAGTCCAAAAAGTATGCTACACTGAAGTACTATTGAACTATACCTTGTCTTGTTGATTATATTTGTACAGACAGTCTAAGATAGGGACCCCAGCCCATGCTGCAATCGAATCGAAAAATACGGAAATCTTGATACTCCTGCTAAACTACGGTGCACATTTAGACGCCAAGAATCGTAAGGGTCTTACAGTCTTAGAGCACGCTGAAGAGACGTTTGGAAAGAAAAAGACAAAAGAAATTATCACAAGCACGGGTTAGAATCYTATCTATTACATAACATATAACAACCTGATTTGATGAAGTTGTATCATGCACACTGGAAGAAAGTCGTACATGATATGATGTTAAAGAAGACGAACAGCAGCATGTATAAAAGTTGTGTTTCACGGTATATTAACAGGCTTCCGTATGCATGTTTCAAACGTCGAGGCTCACATGCGTCGACTCTAAGATATCCTATATCGGTGTACTTTGAAAAAGGGTTGTTGATTATCATGTGTGTGTTTAATAGAGCATCTGAGGTTTGATCATTTGAAGAAGAAACTGAGAAAGTCCACTTTGATTCCATCGGAAAGTAATGGTAAGTAAATTACAGAAATAGTTAAACTGCGCGCTCACCCCTTTAAAATGTTAATGTTTATGTTTTATGAATGACACCACAGATGACATAGGAGTGGGTGTCCTCGCATCACCATTGCCTCAAGTGTCATTTACAGACATTCATCAGTTCCACAAAGACATTTATGCCAAGGGGCCGTACAGCTTTTACATAAAAGCAAAKGTTAACCAAGACTATGTAACAGTTAAAAAGTACAGGAATGAAGTCCAGGAGGACCATGTCACAGCGTTGTTTGCGAGGGAAGTCAGAGCTATGAGGTAAAGGAACTGTTATTATCATGTCTATCTTGTAATGCATCTATTGGARGATCTATGAGCTTCTATGGTCTGTTTTTCCTTTCTCCAGTAATCTTTGTCATCCCAATATACTTCTGATGATGTCAGCCTGTTATGGCCCGRCTCTCAGTGACCGTTGTATGGTATTCGAGCCGGTAGAACGTGGCTTTTTACACAAACTGCTTCATTCTGAGAACGAGCCGTTTGAAGAAGACGCAGTAATTGAGATAGCCCGTGGTGTTGCTTGTGGTTTGGTGTACATGCATGAACGAGGATATATACACTGCTATCTTGGTACACATAGTGTGACAATCACGGAATCTTACCAAGCTAAAGTATGTACAGCTCTTAAAAAGAAATGTTAATCGTCGGTCTAAAGTCATTACTTTCTGTATTTCTACCGTTTTTAACTCTCGTACCAGTCGAGTCCAATTCTTTAGACATAACATTTAACAACCTTTACAGGAGATTATAAATCATGCCGTTATTTCCCGATAGGACCCGAGTAGACGCTCTAAGAGCGCCTGATAAAACAGTTCAATATAGCGTGCGCAAAATAAGAAAAAATGATTGATTTTGCTCGAGTTCAAATATCGAATCGTACATATGCTTATTATCAATACCGATTTTGTTTCTGACTTAATCATGATCATCTATGATTTGCACTGACTTGGGACCATATGATCTCCGACGACGTTTGAACTGGGCCTGTGATGCAAACACTGTCAGATATGTAGCTTGCTATTTGTATATGTATCCCAATGTTACACTATCTTTTCAGATTTGTAACTTTGAGTATTGTCAAGTTCTCAAGCCGTTTGAACAGTCATGRGGTAAACCAATAAGCCACATAGAAGCCCTCTACGAGTTCATGGCGCCCGAACAACTACGAGGCTTAGCCGCTGACAAGCTGGGCGATGTCTATAGTCTCGGTATTTTAGTCTGGGAGTGCGCTACAAAAAGAAGACCTCTACAAAATGTTAGCAACTTCAAATGCATTATGCGCAAAGACGATCCACGCATGAGTAAAGTATCTGGTCGATGGAGTGCAAATATAAGGAATCTGGTAAAGGATTGTATTAAACCAGCAGATARAAGACCAAACTCTGTCCAGGTATTAAACGAGAATCGATCCCAGTTAATGAGGCAAAACAGTTACCTCGGGGAGGGGCAGCTATAGTCAAATACAAAGTCTTCCTTTCTATTATTGTTCTATGCAACTCCAACAACATATCAGTTAAATAAAAGAACATGCATTATYAATTGTTTTTCAGGTTTTTGATTGGCTAGATGGACTAACTAATCTTCGTTTYGTAAACACACGWCCAGCYACCATGGTTATCGAAGASATGCCTTGTTTATTTCCAAGAATAAAGGTTGAACTAAGCAAACTTTACAAAACCATTTAGRATGTGACATGGTATGTAGTTTTCACATCAAAGGAAATATTTCATTATAACTAGTGCATTTGTGCTGTGAAATTTATACTTAACGTAAACTATAAAATTCTGTGTACTAAAATAATCCTTTATATACAAATATTACATTGAAAATAATGATAAAACTCGAGGTAACAAATTCTTTTTTGTGTTCTTATGTAACGGTTAATGTAGAAGGAGGTTTGTTTCTAATGGTGGCCACCACAGATCCMGGTTTGTTCTTTGTRTTTCTCGTACTTGCAGATAAYTGGATTCGTCTTTCAGTCTGCATTTTAGCGTTGTAATACGGCACTGAATCGGGTTGCTCCATTAGTAGCTCGAGCTGGAGTTGGTCAAATTTCTCTTGCTCATCTTCGGGAACGTACCCTACCTGYGAAACCTTGCGCACGCCTGGTACCGAGCTTGTGATCTGTTCGTCAGGGCCTAGGAAAGACTCCGTGTACCAGCTGTCAAACTCACTTAGCAACCTCTGACGACATTGATTGACAAGTTTCTCACAGTACATGATTTCAGATTTGGTGTTTTGCAGCTCCTCGTAATTTTCTCTATATTTTGCTTTGAGTTCTTTAAGCTTTTTCAGATGATTGAATTCTCCTTCATCGATGACTACCTGACCATTTTCAGTAACGAATTGTCCGTCACGCAACCTTTCGTCAGTTTTAGTATTGAGTAACATCGATTCTTGGTCCATGTCGTGTTTAAGGCTGTTAATAGTTGTAGAGAGGTCCTTTGCCGTCTGTCTTTTTGCTTTTAGGATTGCTGAAAGATAAAATTCYTTGATTACTAAATCATTGTCTCACGCATCCTATGGAACGGGCGGTGTCTGATTTCTGTCAAATTCTAATCACAGTTTCGTATGAATAGGACGGCTTGGGTGCGCAAATGTTAACACCACTCACATCGTCGAGTGGTGGTTTTGTTTTGAAAGCAGCGCGCAAGCAGGCAGCTTCTTTACTCCGACGAAGGATTAACATCACGAAACGTCAGTAAGTTATTTCCCTTACTTTTTTACGGTGTTAAACTTATCTTCTTTACACAACTGTTTCTTTAGAAACACCGACGCAGCTCACACTAGTTTACCGCTAGTTCCCACCAGCTTCACAAAGGACTGTCAGCTTGCAAACGCAAGAATTTTTGCAAGGACTTTATATGTTTAAGAACATTTAAAAACTCAATCGATACTAAAGAGCTACTATTAGAGAGCTATAACTTACCTTTGTTCTCATTCAAAATTCGGTTAATTTCACTCCCCCTTTCCTTTTTAAATTCTTCAAATGCGTTATCTTTGGGGGGTGGTGTGGGTAGTCTTTTGTCTGATGCTTCTGAAGGTGCGGGAGACTCGGGCTTCTCGCGACCGGCTGATCGTCTTGTTCCTGCTCTTGATTTTGGGTCAGCACTGTCTCTGCTCTTTCGGCTTTTCGATCGCTTTGTCGTCGCGAGCGCTGCAACATTTGGTTTCACGCCTCCGCTAGCCACACCAACACCAAAACCCTTGGCATCAACTTCACCAACTGTACCTGTTTCTCCTTCTCCTTTGCCGCCAGACTTGGCTACGGACCCTAAAATTACAATGATATTCATTTTTATCAAATATTCCATTAAGAATAGGGTTTCAACGTTAACGAACAAGATCATTAATAAGTTCTTTGTATGACAACGCTWATCCCTGCAATGGTTCGACGAGTTTTACCGTGGAACGTTTTTTTCCTCCCCTAGTACACTATCATAAAGCTGTGCACTCCTTAACACTTCATTATCACTCTTTTAGCAAAATTCTTTTCATGTCAAATATCGTACTTTAGTGATAATACTGATGCAATGTACAGTATAGTAAAAAACACTATAGTTCGCAGTCAAAAAAAGAGTACATTTTTTAACACTATGCGTCAACACTAACCAGGTAAATAATATTCTATATTTTCTCGTTGTCTTTTCGCTCTCTTTTCGGACCGCGCGCAGGCAAATCAGAGATACCAGATACCAGGCAAAACAACGAACAAAAACAAAACAACAAAAATAATAAGAAGAAGACAGCATACCAGAAGCAGTTTCAGCACGCTCTTGTAAAATGTACTTTTGCTTAAGCTTTTCCTCCATGTCTGTTTCAAGAGACTTGACGATTGACTTGAACTGCGCAAAAGTTTCCTGTATCTGCCTGACATTAATCAYYTCAATGTCATTTAATTCTCCATCAAGGAATCTCATCACCTGGTCTCGGACTTCCTCGATTTGCGAGTAAGAAAGAGGTTCGTATGATATCTGGCTYCGGTTAGTAAGAGTGTCATGCATWGCGAGTTCRTTTCGTAGRAYCTTGATTTCTTTTTCATATTCRTTGCAGAGTTTGTTGGTATCGTAGTATTCCATGATGGCTGGCTCACACTGTACCATCATCATACGACTCCCAAAACGAAGTGTAGAGAGCTGAAACAAGACATTTGTGAATATGAGAAATCGTTTGTTTGTTGAGTCAGTACAGACACTACACAAACAATTTGCTAGTGTTAAATTTAGTGTTAAGTGAATTGATGTTTTATGAGATTAAGATTCTTCAAACTGATGTCTCTGTCATTTCCCACACTCACTATCCCATCACTYCTTTATTACATTATTAGTATGCGAAGTAGGCTTTCCTGGTAATATTAGAGCAGATTTCATATGAGTGGGACACCGTTACGGCACGGTTACCGCACAGTTACCGGACCTGGCCTGCGCAATTTTGGTGAACCAATGAGACACTAGAATTTGGTTACAGTACGATTACGGTCACAGTACAGTACCATCCGTTTCCCACTCATACGAAATCCGCTCTACTGGGAACACCTACTTTGCATGCTACAACAGCATGAGCAAAATCTCTTGTAGTTCGCAGCTTGGCCCCAAATTGATAATGGTATGGAGAAATGGAGACAGTCCTCTAGTGCAAGGATAGTATCCATTCAAAKAAAACTTACCGTTTCTTCCAACTGTTCAGCTTCTCCCCAAATATTYGCAATAAGTAGCATATTACTCCTGCCCCCTAGGGAGTCCTTTAGTACATGGGTGAGCTTGCTCTGTCTATATGGAACATGCTCACGATGAGGATCACCTAGTGCTATAACCACTTGTTCAAGGAATGTCAGTGATTTATTGATATACATCGCTTCTGTCTGGGTWTCWCCATARGACTGGGTCTTGCCAAGTCTCTCTGAACCAGCTAAATCAACAAGGTTTAGCTTGGACAAAGTGAAATTAGTGTTGGACTCAACTCTTGAATGGGATTCAATGTAAAGTGTGAAGATGCAGTGGGARCTTGAAGAGTGTTTATTCAGTGAGTGCTGGGCAATGATTCTGTTRGTTTCACCCTGGGAATTGAAAAAAAGGAGTAAATTTAGTGAAAGATGGATGGATGTGGAAACAAATTGATAATCAGGATAAAGAGGAAGGGAAGATGCAAAAAGAATAAGTTTATATGATAACAAGTTTATATAAAGTAAGGCTTATTTGAATTTACATAAAGTTCCTTTTGTCTGATAAACAAATACAGACATCAGGCAATCAGTTATGTCAACCAATCACATTAAGGGTAATTCTGTAAGAAGACTCAACTACCACAAAACAACGCACGATAAACTTACTTCAAAAAGCAAATTTAARGCTTCTTCTTCGTTATTCGCTGTGTGGATAGAAAGACCTTTRACTCTAGTAAAACCACCGTTACTTTCTTCAGTTACACTCATCATACTTGGGTCCAAGGGAACCGTACCGGGAAGAGTTGCTAGTAAATCYTACATGCACTCATTGTAGATTTCCATGTACGAAACTCTCACTGTAACAGCAGTCTCTGGCTTTTCACTTATCTCTCGAAATAGCTGTTGAATAGCACGAGGAATGATTCCACGATGTTCAAATCGCTCAGTTGATCCGGTCATTGTGAAAGTCTTGCCGGCTCCTGTCTGACCGTAAGTCATTATTGTCGCATTGTATCCAGCTAGAGTGCTTGTAAGTATATCCTTAGCACATTCTTCATAAACTACGTCCTGACTGGCATTATGGAATACTCTGTCAAGTGAAAATCCCCAGTCCAAAATCTGATTATTGATGTACCCTCGTCTCTGGTCTTTGCTGCAGTGAATGTTHATTGATTTTCCATCTGGCAAAAGCTCYATATTATTTTCTGCGAACTTGGAAGTAGGACGAATCCTTACAAACACTTTGACTCTTCCGTTACGGCTCATTTTGAACAATGCAGGTTAAAACAGAAAAGAAATAATGAACAAAGCTTCTACTTCGATCATCTGGTGAAACTGAATACTCTGTACTGTTGCTATGTATAGCTTGTTGCTATGAAGATTGGCGCATAGCAGTGATTGGGCAGCTGCTGTACAGTACCCATGCGGGCTCATTAGAAAACAAAATGGCGGAAGAAACTCCCGAAAAAGAAGGAATCAAATTACTCGAAAAGTGCCCTAAGGAACAAGCTGYAAAGGTAATTTGTCTTAAAAGCTAGATATACATAAGCTTAGATATTTTATTTGTTCTTTATGTGACGTTTTCAGCCACTCTTGCTTGTTTTTTTGCAGTTTGTTCATGAGATTCTTGACAGCATCTGTGATGGTAGACAACCCAGATACATGAACTATGGCAAAGTATGGACAACTACAGAATGGCAAACTGTAACAGGGGCAGTTAGTGACTTACTAAAATGCTTTATACGWAAAGGGATGACTAGAAAAGAGGTATAAACCTTATTTTACAATACAACAAAAGCAAGTATTGACAGGCCTATTTTTTGTTCATGCTGTTTATCCCCATTCATTTTTGCAGATAAGTCAAGAGCTTGACAAATATTCTTTAAATCCAGACACAAAGCAAATGTTATGTAGTTGTCTTATACCACGACAAGAAGATGTAAYAGCAGCTCTTGTTGATAGTACAGCTGGAATAACAAATGCATATCTAAAGGACTTTGACTGGAAAGTGAAGGTCAGTATATTACTATTTACCAYTCTTCTYCMAAARTRAATAGCAAGAGATTCAAACAGCRTATATTAYAATYGMGATAGCAAGCAACAAAAAAGGACTRSTMTCYGGAAGGAGTTAATGTTGAAATTGTATAACTGACGAATCAAGATAAAATTCCTATATTGACCTCAATAAAATGTTAGCTTCATTGTTACTAGTATCTCGGCCACCTTGTCCTGTTCAGACCATGTCAAATTTGATGTAACTCTGAAACAATACTTGATTGGACTTGGTTGGACTTGCGCTGCGGCTCTACTAACTCCGATCTGATTCTGTTTTAATCCTTGTAGATGGTTCTTGCTAGTGACAAGATTGCCACTATCAGAAAACCAGTGATAAGTATTGACTTTGACATTGCTCATGGGAGATCTGTTACAAAACCAATCACAGTAGAAATGTCAAAAGAAGAGTTGAAGAATTTAATAACCTCCTTAGAGGCAGCTAATAAGGTATCKTTGAATGGTCAGTRTGACTTCRTTTGCATGCCTGGGCTTCCTGTAGCACTGGAACAATAGATTGGGACTTTGATACATAGAGACAAAGGAAGCCCACCAGGTTTTCTTGCAGAAGAGGACACAATCAGTCATCATCTCTCTTTTAGTCTTTTTTTTCCCTTTTTTATATTAAATTTTACTCAATAAATGAAATAGGACAAGTAACAATATCTGTTTTCTTGTCTTTTTCAGATGGTGATTCAACTAAAAGGATAATTCAATCTGTTGATTTTAGAGAATGTCCGCTGAATTATTGTAATAATTATGTAAATATAATCCAAAGAATAAAGTGATTTATTAGAGGAGGTAATCTGAGAAATAAAATAGGATTTTGATACTTAACTCATAACAAGTGCTTTGAATAATAAAGAATATTTTTACATACAATTTTGTAGTTAAATAGGTAGTTTTTACCCTGACTTTGAAAAATGTGATGGTTATATGGTTCCTGATACCCCAAATGATAAATTTGATCTACAATCATCATTCCTTTGAAATGTAAATTGCTTTGTGACCCCATCAGTAACCATTTCACAGTTACATTATGTAACTAGCTGTGGCTTTCTCTTAGGGGTACCCATGGGAAGTAAAGGGAATTTTTACATAATTTGCAAGGGATTCTTTGTCCAACAGATTGGGAGTTTTTCCTTCAATAACTTTGCAATGTAATCAAGGGGAATTTGTTATTTCTTTTCTGTCTTATCCCATGGTTCTCAAACATCCTGCAGGGTCCCCAGGGGAAAGCTGCTGACTGATGTGCATCATTTACTATTTCACATTGCTACTCAACCAGACTAGAGTGATCGCACTTAATCCGTGCAACTGTACAAACTAAATAGTGATGTTTAGGCGTATTTAGTAAATCATGCACGCGATATGCAAATTAAATTGAATTTGATACAAATGAAGCATTCAATACCGTCTTGCTTCAGGTCCACTTTTAGTACAAATTAGTACTACTTAGATTTTGTACGGTTGCACAGATTAAGTGCGTTCACTCTACACACAATAGGTGGATCTTCGCTGACGTCATTGTTTACATTTTATTTTTTTTTCGGCTAACACCACATACACACTGAATATTGAAAGAACTCTGTAAGATTAGCTGTTATTGATAATTTGAGCTAAATCCATGGAATAGATTTGGAGTAATATGGTTTTCAAAACTACGAATTTTACAAAGAATGTATGGGCTCATTAGCGTTTTGCCACACAGCCCGATTTTCCATTGTTCTCAAAACTGATATATCGTGTTTAAAATTGCATGCAAAAAGCTCAAAGTGTTGWGAAATCTGTAGATTTACYAGMTTTTRTAAGTTTTGATTTAAGTTTTCTTATTTCGTGGCTTTTTTCTGTGTGGCAAAGTCTGTGTGGCAAAGCGCTAATGAGCCCATACATTCTTTGTAAAATTTGTAGTTTTTAAAGCCATATTATGCGAAATCTATTAGATATATCAAGCTCAAATTTTCGTGGAGTGCTAATTGAGCTAATATCTGTAAATATTCAGTATAGATTTGGATTTAGCTTGTTTAAAAGCAAAAAAGCTTATGCTAATGAGGAAAATCATGTAAACAAAGATCCYCCTATAGGACTGTGCTACGTTTCTCAAAAAAAGAAAGGAAGAATTGTATGTGATGCAAGCTAGGACAAAAGTCACATTTGGAAATACATGTATTTCATAAATTTATGATAACCACTTGATGATAGGTTTGCATTAAAAATACAGTTGTTAAATTGTTTGATTGATGAACTGTCAATGACAAGGTCAATAGTGCTGTACTTGCAGTCCATCAGCGCCAACGTGGTAAGCAAATTATCAACAAATACGAACACCCTTGGAACTTTCAGGCCCAGCAAAATGCATGACGGAGTTTCTAAATATCCAATGTTTTATAATTGTTTTGAAGGCTAATATCCACCACCAGACCGTTGAATAAGATCCGAGAATCGTTTAGTAATAAGTAGAGTAGTATCAATGAATCTTTCTACACAATTTACCAAGCAAGTTTCAGTTCGACCATCCAGCTTGTTGCCTGGTTTATCGATACATTTATCCCAACATGTATCTGTGAATTGATGCACTTGAAGCTGAAATTTTGCTTTCTGCTCTTCTATCATGAGTTCTTCTCTAAGTTTTGGGTCAATCTGATCTCTTCCACCGGCCATAATCAATGAAATTCACGTTTAATGCCGCTAATTCAGGGCTTATGCAATGGCTGACTTCCTCTTGKACGTGGAATTAGAAAACACAGGAAGTCCGTACATACCACAGGAAACCCATATCATCACGATACTTGTTTGGCTGTTGTTTAGTTGTTTGGCAAAAAATGCAATTACTTCCCCCTTTAAGAGTCTGGGAAAGTTAAAGCAGATATGCCCAGAACTAGAGATATAACTGGCAGAATACAATTGAAAAATAGTATACTAGAATGGGATTTGAGCAGGTAGATAAGAAAGGGCAGCACCTTTAATACTGATGACATTTTTGAAAGCAGTAAGCATACAACACAAAATCCCCAATATAAAAGTATTTACATTTTATTCCTCCTCTAACAAAGTTATTTTCAAACCATGTTTTTTTAAATTTTTATCTTTTTTTTTTCTATTATCAATATTTTGTCTCTAAAATGAGTTGCATGGTGATTATCTTAAACCAGAACCCGTTTTAAATATAATTCTATGGTATAACAATTTGATTTTAATCTTGCAGTTGTATGTCAGCATTACCAAAGTTAAAATGAACAGTGCTTGGTCCATCATCTATCAGCCAATAACAATAAAATATTATTATGGATTAATATTTAGTATTCTATTCGACTTATTATCACTTTAATATTGACATTTTCTAATTTAGACCAAACAAAAGTAGAAAGCAGATTTTGTTTCCTCTGCAGCCACTTGACATCAAGAGAAAGAAAACTGTGATTCTAATGCTAAGGAGACTAGAAGATGGAAAAATATCGAAATATCTTAGTTTCATTTCAGAGAAAGTTTGTATTTTGGACTTGCTTTCTACTTTTGTAACATGGTTTTTACTTTATATATATATATATCAATGCTCAGATATGTACTCCAAATTAATGACGTATTCATTATTATCATGATAAGTAGAGGATATTACATGGGCACGAAGAGATACGGATTTTATCTACGCTCAATCGTGAGAGATTTTCAACACGAGAAGATAAAATTTGTATCTCCAAGCGACCATGTAATATTTTGTTTATCATATAATTATCAATAAAAGCAAATTATACTTCCACTATATAGAGAAACCAAAATTTGTTATTTTCAATAGTGAAAATAACATGTTTAATAATTTCACTAGTGAAAGTATCAACTTTATGAAATGAAGAAATATAGGTATTTCATAGATAATTTTATGATAAAGTGGTTTTCATAAACGTGTGTAACAAGTGTAAATAGTATTTTTAAGTGTATTAAAATGTTTTATATAATTTTTGATATAATGCATGCTGATTGGCTGACGTTCAGTTTATCACAGCTTACCAACAAAATTTGTTTTTTGATCAAAAAACGTGGTAAAATTTTATAAAAGAACTATAAAACAGCCACTCTGACCTCTGATATAAACACGATGAGAGTTGAAAAGCACCCACTTGTGTTTGTAAGCTTGCTTCTCTCYTGTTTTTCAACTGCAACTGTGTTTATATCAGAGGACAGAGACACAAGTAGCCATTTTATAGTTCTTAAATAAAACACAGAGAAAAAGAAAAATATGTTAAGTGCAAAATAACACTAAAGTGCAAAATAACACTAAAGTGCAAAATAACACTAAAGTTTTATGAAAACAACTCTAACACAGAATGTGCGTCAAAGCAATAAATAAATGAATAAATTATTACAACCTGATAACTTTATGTTAATGATAAGTGATATTTTATAGAGCCCTACAGAGCTAGGGAACCTTAAAGTCTGAGGACGTTTTGTATGATATTAGACTCCTGAAGATGAATTAGCAGCACTGTAACAATATTGAATCAACCTGAGTTGGATATTATCATCCAACTGATTACAAAATAGAACAAAAATATTGGATATACTGCAAGAGCCTTTCTGTTTGGAGGTTGACTATCCCCTAAAAATACAATAGATGCTATGGAACAAGAGAAAAACAGCTGTCAATAACACAAAATAAGAAATCATTATTTCTTTATAAGAATTAATAGAGAGACCTGCAATGAGACAAGACATTAGCGATGTTTGCTATCGCTTAATATAAATACAACTGAAACTGGAATTCTTGAACAACAGCCTTTGGAACCTTATGGCTTGAAGATAATGAGTTACATGGGATAGGAATTATTTGGTCATTCATTCAAAATCCAAATGAACTAAATTATATCATAAAATTTGACATGAAACAGCCAAACTTACCAAATGTTGCCCATGCAAAGCCTAAAATCACAATGAGGAATCTGACAATGAACAATGCCAGGTTTTGCTTGGCAAGAAGGATAATTCTGCACACTACAAGAGCAACATCTAACGGAAAGATACAATAACCAAGAACACAGACACTCTGGAAAAAAGAACTGCAAAGAAAAAGGAAAACAAAGTTCAAGGAAACATCTGTACATAATGAGAAAAAAATGCACACAGATCATTAAATGACAAGTTTACTTGACAATTCCAGTTATTTAGAAAGAGACAAAATGATTTTTTTATATAATGTTTAAGAAGTGGCTTGCATACTTACATTTGACCTCCTAAGAGCTTTGAATTAATAGTAATCACAAAAGACCCAACCCAAACAACAACAAAAACCTCTGCAAATTGTGGACCACCATCATTATTGCTGTCTGCTACTTTATGACCCTGTAATAACCTACAATATTGAATTAAAAACATTAATTAAAACAAAGAATACTAAGCCTTGATATTGAGCATTTCATAGAAACAATGGATATCAAAAATCTTATCAATCTGTCCCATTTTGTGAATGTGTTAATTGAATGAAAAAGTACTTAATTCATTAATTCAACAATGTTTGCATGCATGACATATATAGCATTATATATACTCATGAAAAATTTTATTAAAGCTACTTACATTGCCAGAAACACACATAATACTAAAGGCCCCCAGAGATCCCCTGAAAGAAAATCAGCCTTATTTCAGATAAATGTGAAATGGAAGAAAAAATGGAAAAAATAAAACCAAAATACTTTTAAATAATACAGGCACAAATCTTAAGATAAGAACACAGAAATCAGACGCGTTAATATCATTCAAAATACAGTTGAAAGCAACTGCATAAAACAAGATTTAAACTTTAAGTTATTAGCTAAAAAGTAGCATTGCACTAAAAGATTAAAACTTACAATCTCTAAGAAGAGTTTTACTTTGTCTCGGTAGCAGCACATGAAAGAACTTCTTCCCAACGTTTTTAAAATCTCTTTTCTATGAAACGAAATAAAAACATCCAATTTTCAGTTCACAGCAAGATAGTCTTTCATCTTTCGTCTACATGTAGGTTAAAATATTCCAGATTCTATTTTCGTGGTGGGTCTTCGATTCAAGACGACTTTATTGACTTACTAGTGTTTCAAGAACTGGTTCATCTAGTGTACTTGGTTCCTCTTCCTCATCTGGAGCTCCTGGTACAGTTATATCGCCTTCAACATCAATATTAACGTTGCTTGGAACAAAACTCGGATCGCTCGCCATTTTGTTTCTTTGATTTTGGGTAATTACCGCTGGCTAGTTTATTTCTCATCTTGCAGGCACTCTTTTCGAATCTTCACCTTTTCTTCGGCTTTGCCTGCGCGTTCTTAAATTTCTAAAACAATTCTTTCACGTTGGTCTAAATGTATATTGACCTATAATTTTAGAAATTAATTTATCTCTTTTTCATTCGGAATGATTCTCGGGCGCACAGGGGATCTTGACTACTAGATGTTTTATAAAATGAAATTTGAGATGAGAAATATGGACCCGAAACTGAACAATRGATCAGGACCCACTTGGACATTTCTTTTTGTGGGTGTTTTGATACTGGCTTGCTTTATTTTTATTTTATACTTTCATTAGTGTGGCACTGACTATCATCTACAGAACTGACGGACTCATTGGGAATTCCCTCACGGCGCTCGAACTATAATTGATCTCAATCTGTTTTTTCGACATATGTAATTGTTCGTGACRACTATATCGTCCGTAATTCTTGCAGTGAGCCGGCACTTTGTAATATAAAACCACATCAACCTGCAGGGCTGTTAAAGGTGAACAGAGCTATTTCACGGACGTCACTGTAGGTCCTGTCGACAAATTTCATGAAAACTCTACTTAATGTAAGTATTTTATTAACTATCATTGTATAAAAATGTCTTTCTTGTTAAGATATTTCTATTTTTTGTTAGGAAATAAGATTAAACCGGTGAATATGACGTCTACTATAAACATTCTTTTTTTATGCAAAGCGGCACGCGCGGCACTCTGACTCTCGTTGAATTCATGTTGTGTACTGTATAGAGAGTGGTTTTCAAATTATATCTAAAAAAGATCTAACTTAATACTATGTTGCTCTTATAAATCCTTGTTAGAGTACAAACACTAAGACTGTGCAACATAAATACCACTAAATACTGCTAAAAACTATTGTTTAATTAGCACTATTTTGTAGTAAATAGTGCAGAGTGTTGCACGCTTTTAGTGTTTGTACTCTATCATAAATTTACTATCTATATAAAAACACGTGAGCTTTAGGAAAGAAATGATGAAAGTCGAATGAGAGTTTACCGTTTTGTCGTCCTATTGACTGGCGAATGGTATAGTTATACAGTGCAATTGTTATTATAGACAGAGATTATTAAACATACTGCTGTATAATAATGTGATGCGCGCTTATTCTATCACGCAGTTGCGCTTAGCATTCAAGTAGAGTTCTACTGGTACTTGCGCTACGGTTGGTCCAAGAAAGCGCGTTATTTTACATCGGTAAGGCACGCTCTAAACGGGAAACGTATCTCTGGGATCTTTCTTCATTAAAAAGCAATATTGAAAAGATGGACAGTTTTATCGATAGTGAAATATAAAAAGTTGATGGAAGAGCACTTAAAAATTTCAAAAATTCTTCACTACGCTGCGTGCCTTATGGCCACGAGTAATCTTGTGGCTTACCCATGTACGGGGTGACCAATGGGTAAGCARATTCTTAGTAGGTGAACATCACAGGCGCGCGCTTTAATTCTTATTCACTAGATGCAGATGGAAGATAAATCAATGGTCTGTGCTCTTTATGCACATATTGCACAATAAAAGTCAGCCCGCGTAGGAGGAGAAGAACTCGCGACCAGRTTACCATTTCAAAGGGCAACGACAACCTCGTTTTTCTCTCATGAAAAGAGTTTGGGTTTTTATGCATAAACGTTTAGTAGCTGCACACTCAGCGTTTATCAAAAGATTAAGAGATTTATGAAACMATGAACGAGATTTCACATCGATAATCTCACTGATATGGTACCTAAAAACACCTTGATGAAAGTGGGCGCCATTTTGATTGCACTCATTGTCCTTTCATGTCCCTGAATTAACTCAATTCCTTTCTAAAAGGAATAGAAAAGGCTATCGTAAGCCCYATCAAATTATTACTTTGTAAGTGGACAATTATCAGAAGCTTTATAATGGAGAAGTGRGATTTTCGTGATTTGATGATCGCGAACGGCTGCAACCTTTCGTGGCTCACTAAHCTTGAATAAGCTTTATGGTGTGTTCCTCTTGAAACTGGTTTAAACAGACAGTCAGACTGGCTCCTGGTTTTTGAACTGCACCTATACTAAAAGACCTTTATCACAAAGACTCCTGTCAGTGCAACTCYCTCGTAATTCCGCWATACCCTAATATAAAAGGTAACTTCTTGCTACTGAAAACCACTCCTTCATACTGGACTAGACTAAAGACATTTGTGAAGAAGTTAACGCAGAAAAATTGGTATTTTATTCCTTGATCTTAAAGCAGGGCTATACTAAATCGTATAAATCCAACTTGATAAGGTAAACGACTGTGAAATTGTGGTATTTTCGATTCTTCCCCTCATCTTCTTTTTCAACAAAARTCATGAATAATTAAATCTTAAGCTTGAWCCCCCGGTAGTAAAAGAGCTTAGGTAATCATTCTAAACTTTCATTTCACCTTAATCCTTTCTCTAGTTATAAAAGTTTGATATGCAGCTGAATCATGTCCTATTTTTGGAATATGCAAGCATTTAAAAAAGGTTCTTTAAACGAAACTAAAAATTATCGCTAATCATTTTGGAAACTCACTGAGTAAATGAAAATCAAAATACTGAGCAAGATTTGCGCCTCCTGTACTTGGCGATCAAACATTCTGGAACCAATATTCCAAAAGAAAGGCTAATAAATCCATTCACGTATGATATTGTTATTGCGGTGATGCACMCTACACCTGTTTCACGAACATCAATTACTTTGTAAATATTCATTACCAAACTTTGATTAATCGTCGATAATGTCATGTGATTGAAGTAAATCGAGCTGATTAGTATTAAAACCTATGTAGATATTATAGTCTGCTAAATCTCAGCCTTCATACAACAATAGCTTACCTATTTCAGTAACTTGATGTATTCTCAGACGTTTATAAGGTGCGTAGTTTTTTATAATTTTTTCGAATCTTTTATACTTTGCTGTATCTTTCGCGTGACCTGAGATGGAAAAAAAAAGTTGTGGCAACACCACAAGATATAGTTGTACGTATATCAATTTTGAGAGCTAAAAAATATTAGATAGATGAGGTGGAAATATCACTTCAAGTTCAAAGTTGTGTAGTTAAAAGCTTTATGCCATAGCCAGACTGAACTTATCGCTGTTTACTCATAAAGATTTTATCTGAATTATAATAATACGATGCCGAATGTTTTGAAAATAAGAGTCATATACTTATTTGTTTATTATCTATTTGTCTTGCGCGTCGACTTAACCATTTTTTTTAGATCTCAATAATCAAAAATACACATTAATCGAAACGTTTTCTTCTTGTTCCAGTCACTGAAGACTAAAGTACAATGGAGCAGTGGTCAATAATAACGTCTGCTTTGATGACCATCATCCTTATTTTAATCATGGTAATTGGAATTCTGGGAAATATCCTRGTTGTTATGGTTACAACCAGACGACGAACCCGTCTTCTTCCCGGTGGAGTATTCATTAGGAGCTTAGCCGTCGTGGATGCAGGAGGGTCGGCAAATGTGATTTTTATGCTTGTAACAGTGATCTTACGAGGAGATTGGGTCTTTGGATATGTAGGTTGTCAAATAAGCGGTACTTTGATCGTGTTTTTTGGTTCCATTTCTCTTCACATTCTGTGTATCATCAGTATCAATCGATATCTTAAGATCGCAAGGCCTAGTCTTTATAACCGCGTTTTTAATGGAACTGGCACTAGAATATTAKTGGTTCTTCCATGGGTTTTACCTTTGATGATGTCACTCGCGCCCGCATTCGGATGGTCAGCACACGATTTTCATTTTAGTAAGAGCARCTGCCATTTCTTCTTCAGCACTAGTGTTTCGTATACCATCACTTTTATCACTGTAGTTGTACTGATCCCTTTAGGAATCAGCGGTCTGTCCTACATTAAGATGTATTGTATTATCAGAAACCATTCCAGTACAATAAGAACAAGCATTCACAGTAGCAGAACACATTCCAATGTCGAAGAGATACGYAGTGCTAAGATAATCTTTGTTCTTATTGTTGCTTTTCTCATGTGCTACACGCCAGGTAGCATTATCAACATCCTGGAAATGMCTGGTGTTCGTGTTCCGCKTCTGCTCGACCTTATAGCTATTGCTCTCATCGTCTCCAAACATTCCCAGAATCCCGTGCTGTATGGACTTTTAAACCGTCGCTATAGACGAGAACTTGTGAAACTACTAAGACCGCTGACTCGACGTTGCTGCTGTGAGGGGTGGTGCGATCACGTGGATGAAGACACCGCTGACGACCTACCCAGACTGAGTAGAAAGATGAGTAGTAAAATTAGTGGAGCACAAAATACCCCATCGATCAAATCATCKCGCAATTCATGGGGATTATATCGAGCAGACGGAACTCGTATTAACCAAGGCCAACATSAACAGAAATAAAACACCCTTTAAAACTAATGACAATTATTACATTTTAGATTTTTGTGAGTTAGATATATGTATAAAATACAGTGTAGGAATAATTACTTGCCCGGTATATGTTGAATAATTATAAGTAATTCAATAATGGCCCTCGGGGAATTAGGGATTAAACAAATTTCACAGAATACCGCGGAAAAATTAGTAAACACCGTCAAATTAGTAGACTTCCACTAATTTTCCCCGCAAGATGCATCAAAATTTTCCCGAATACTGAATACTATTCGGGGAAATTCCCTAATTTCCCTCGTGGCATTAATTATATATAATATTACTTATAATTAATTGCTTCAAAAAATCGTTATGTTGATAATTAAGCATAATATCATCAGACGAATCGACTAAAAGGCTTTATTGGTGAAGATTTTGACTTTGACTTTTTCGCAAGAATCAGAACTGATGACAAAAAATTATCGCAATCAATTTAAATACATCTTGGATTATTTTTAGCTCTAAGGTTAGAGTAATGTTAATRTTGGTGTTTATTGTTATTTGTTTTGGCGGATTGTCATTCTGAGATTGACAAAATATAAACCTCTATACCGGCTTTCAAAGACTATCGAGGAAAAATTCAGCTATACGTTATTTTACTGGTCAGGAATCACGTGACTTGAAAAATCTATTTGTTCATAATTTTAATTTATCCCTCAAGTTGTTACAGTAAAGTTGTGCCGCATGATGAGTACATTGTGTCCTGACAGATGATTATAAACTTCCGGTTTTTAAAAACAAAATTCTGAAATAGAGTAAATAAAGTAAACTAGCAATACTGACAGCAACATATTACGACAATAATATCACTAAAATACCAACTGTTCCAATATAAGTATACTGGRTTGTATCAGAACAATACATTATACTATCATGCCCAGTCAATAAAGTACTTTATAAGTCAATTAGCGTGGATAAGGGGGYTATCCAGAATTGAAGGCATTCTGCATCGGATTACCACTACCAGGAGGCATTGGATATGGTGTTCCTGGATAAGCTGGATATCCTGGTGCTGGTGGGTACCCAGGTGCAGTTGGAGGAGGAAACCCCCCTGGTACAGGAGGGGGTACTTGTCCTGCTGGGTATCCTCCTGGTCCCGGAGGTGGAACTTGTCCTGCTGGATATGGATGCTGCGATGGGTAGGACGGTGGGGGTGGATGGTGTGTGGAATGGTGTGGGGGGTGGTGTGGATGATGATGAGGGGGGTGATGGTGGTGGTGTGGGGGCTGATGATGATGGTGTGGTGGTGGTGGTCCCATACCACAAGATGAACCTTGCCGCATAAGTGCTTCCCTTGCCTTTTGTCGATCTGAGTTAAAAGAAATGGCCCTGTCAAAGTCGTGTGAGTTTGCCGGATCCATGATGCTTGGAGCTATAATTTCCACAACTATAACTTTGTTCTTGTCAAAACTAAACGCGTTCAGAAGTTGAACGGCCTGAGCACAGCTCGTTGGAGACATCTTTGGTGCCGCAATCCTCAAGGCGTCAAGTTTGTCATCGTCGAAGCTGAAATTATTTATCACTTCTGTGACTTGTTCCACTGAAATATAACTGTARGATGTAGAAATAGTAGATCGCAACACGTCGAACTTATCACTCTTGAAGGGCTTTTGTTGAAGTGGCACTAACACGGTAGAATTGAACGTAAATGGATCCATGTTTTGCTTTGTCCTGCACGTTTAAGTTATTTTCAGTTCTTGATGCTATTTTCTGTAGAAATACAACTTCGTAGATAGCAATATAAGGTACAAAAGTAGGAAGTTTTGACCGGTAATGTGTTGGTACGTCGATCGATCACGAGATGCAGTTTCGCAAGGTAACGACGGAATGTATTTCCGGTGTTTCATGGGATACGACGTCAATGTCACCTGRTGGCACAAGTGACCTTGAAAGGTCTGGTATGTAAATTTCCATAAGGGGTACCAAAATACAAAAGATACGTTTAGCAATTATATTTTAGTGAAAGCTTTTTTAAAAATTTAAGAACAAATCTTTCAGTTTTGAACTTGTGTTTTCGTTTACATATAAAAAGTTATTTTGGTAAGTTGTGCTCTTCAAGTCATTTTGGATTTGATTATTCTTTGAGAGCGGATTCTCTAATCAGAAACCTCTCCAAACAGGAAAAAAAATATGATATTCTGAAATTCCTGCGCTGATGTCGGTATTTTCTTTCGATTTCAATGAAAACCATATATGGCTTATCAGTTCCCTTTTCCGGGCCGTCCCCGGAGTTTCCGGGTATATCAAATAGCCAGTATATATAAACATTAACTCAGTACGCTAGGACAAGTTTTTTGTTTCTTTAACAGTATTAAAGAAGTTCCGGAACTATATTTGATGGAAATATTGATAAGAATCTAGAGGGGAGGGGGGAGGGGGGAGGGAGAGAGTGCATGGTTCAATGTTACATTGTCGTTGTCATGGAAAAGACAAATTTTAGAGACGTGTTGTGCTTACTATAATTTGAAGCTGAAATCATCTTGTGAAAATGGTTTAAAAGGAGAACTACGTAAAGATATTCGGATAAAAATGACGTCTTTCGTTATTTGGTTATCGTTATTCACTCTCTTGCTAACAGGTTAGCTATAGTAAAATATAGTATAGTTAATGTGTGTCGGTTGTATGTTATTAGTTTTAATTCATGCATATCGTCGATTGTGATTATTGCCTTGCAATCAAGAACATAGATGGATCTATACTTATAGCTTGGCGCATAAAATATCTCAGTTCCGAGTCAATCAGGTAATAAATTCAAATTATATAATATATTCGATCTGTTTTGTAAAGCCATTGATTGTAGCGAGGATCTAACCAGTCACTCATCAAAAGAACAAATGATGGGAAGTGCGTCTGTTTCACTGATTTCTTGTGTTCCAACCAGAGCAATTCTTCAAAAATTTTCGAATTATCAATACGTTAATATTCCTTGCTCTGTAAAATATATACTTTTAGCAAATTTGAACAAGTCTCAGTAAGGAACCAACACAATGGTGGATCCAGGTAGTAAGGGTGGCTATCCACCACTCAGGGRTCGAAAATGTAGAAATATAAACTTATCTCATGCAATGTTTAAATTAAAAATGAAAGTGAATGGGACAACTAAAGCAGCGTTCATCTGACTGTCTGAAAGAAACTTGACTACTGTATTTCATATTTTTTTCTAACCAGCTACATACACGCACACAACCCCCCTCCCACAACCCCCCCACCCCCCACACACATACACGCACACAACCTCCCTCCCATTCTTTTCAAAAGAAATGCCCATTTTTCTTGGCTMACACAGTTCTTTTTCATTTAGATGCAGCATCGGTAAAGAAGAAGCCAGGRTGTTTGTTTGAGAACAAGTTCTTTGAGGTTGGGTCTATCTTCTCTAATGAGCTCTGTGATCAGAAGTGTAGCTGTTTGGGTACCAYTGGACTCTACATGTATATATGCCAACCATTATGCTCGCAGTACTCGTCAGAATGCGTCGGAAAAGCACTTCGCTATAATAAAATACAGCCTGGACTGCCTTACTACAACTGTACATGTATAGAAGCGGTGTGTGATGTGTCTGTGAAAGAGCCTTTCGAATACTAATGTTATAAAGTCACTAGTTTGGACTACTTTCATTTTCTGGCTCCAGAAAGTATTTATTGTAAAATATATGTAATATATACAACACAATTCCTCGTTTTGTTAAAATGTTTCCACTGAAATAAATAAATTTGGTAAAAACTGGCAAAAAAAAACAACAAACAAACCGCTGGCAAAAAAAAACAACAACAAACAAACCGCAGACGAACATGGTGAGCAAAAGGCGACGGTGCATTCACTAAAACGTCTCAGTAAAACCAGTAAAACGATCCTGAAACTGGCAAGTTTTTACTACCGAAATCCTATGATAAAACGATATAAATGAAAAGAAAAAACGTGAAAAAATAAAAAATAAAATAAAATAAAGAAAAAAGAATTCAAKATGGMCGTGCTGGGATTCGAACCTCGGCCAAAAAGTTCGAAAAAGATTGGGACGATTCCCCCGAGACATTCTYTGAAGCTGAGMCGMCGAATCYATTTACATTCCGGTTAGAGATTTCGGCTCTTCCATGCTATCCCGATAATTGGTCCTAACTTCGCGCTAACTAAAAAGCCAGTGAGGGAGAAGCTATCCGGCCCCTAGACACTGATGGATAACCCCTTGCACTAACTAGGCAACTATCGAAAGTAMAATGTCAAATTGGMGTAGTCTATTRGGRGAAAGTGTCAAGTGCTCTATTATTATGTAAATGAGCATGGTCCTCTAATCCATGCGGCTAAAGCGCTGTGCTGGAATCCAGTGTTGTTACGAGGTGACACAAGTTCGAATCCCGCGACCAGCCAATTTTACAGATATCGTTCCTCTTTTTTTTTTTCAATATTTTTTACATCAATATATTCTTTTAAGCGTTAAATCTTCTGCAAAATACTTTTTTCTGCTTTTTCTTTCTTTTTCTTTTCTTTTTTCCAACTTCCTTTTTGCCATAACTATTTTGCGCTCGGTTCCACAGGGAGTCCGCAGAAGTGTGCAAATGCCTGTGGCGTGAGTCTTCTCGCATCGCTCTCAAATCGAAATCATTTCYGATCCAAGCTATATAGTTATTGGCTTTTTTAATAAATGTATAATAGTAAAAGAGCAAGAAGAAAAGGGAAAAACAGGTCTGTTAGCGCTCTGGCGGCCTCAGACWGTAAGCCTCGATTTGATATTACAAACTTCACCCCATGGGGGAGTATGTATCACTTGGCAGTATAATCAAATATTAATTCGAGTTACATGAAATTTTAACCTGTAGAAACAAACCACCAAACATTTTTCATAGAAAGGTTAATGTGCTTAGCCTTACATTGTAATATTTGTTTTATGRAGACGGAGAAACAAAAAAAGAAATTTGATGCACTTGATTGTAGCCCTCCCCCCTTGATAATTTTGTTGTCAAATCAACACAGAGATTGAGGAAATCGATGATGTTAGAGGCTCTGCTAAGTCATCGCTGACTAAACATAACGATGACCTTACTAAATTAGAGGGAGTTTCGCTAAAGTGTCAGCAAATTCCACGATCAACATGAAAGATTCATACAACATTGGTCGTCAATGTAAAATATGGGAATGACAATGTCGTCTCTCAATCAATGGACGTGCCAGCACTGCACCTTGAAAAACTCATCCGAACAATCAAAATGCCAAGCTTGCGACAAACCTAGGCGAGGAAATGCTACMGATTGGGCATGTAAATATTGTAGTTTAGAGAATCCAAGTTATAGAAACAGATGCGAGGCTTGTAATTTTCAGAGAAACGACAACCAACAGGTCAAAGATGGCACACTTGCTAAATCTTCTGGTTCGTTKAGCGAATCCATAGCGAAATTCTTWGGATTGGGTGGAAAAGAATGGACTTGTTCAAAATGCACTTTAAAAAATCCTCCCTCTCAGTCAAAATGTGCTGTATGTAATAGCAAAAAGCCAGAAGTTGTAGAGATTCCTGATGATGTTCAAGACTCTCCTTCTGCTACCACGAGTACCAGTGTAAATAGCCAAAGAACTAGACTTTATCCAAATTTAGAATTAGAACTATCGAAAATCGAGTGTGATGCAAATATTGCTCAACAGAGTCCCGAAATTATACTCAAATGTCCAAGATGTCAAACACTTCTCTATGATAATGCAAGCATGCATTGTACTGTTTGTGGAAGCCTTTGTGAAAGTGAAGGCTTCAAACCCCGACCGTTCCCATCATCCTCTGTAAGTACTAGCCCTGAATCAACACCCTCAGCCCTTCCTGGACAATGGAACTGTCCAGGATGTACATTTGCTAATGATAATTGCCGAACAGTATGTGAAATGTGTCATACTGAGAGAGAAATCAAAGAAAATGATATTAGTTGTGATCAACCTGGAAGACAGTTAAAAGCAAGAGGACCTAGCGCTGCTGACCCAGTTGCATCAACATCAGGTTTACAAAATTTAAGAGGTAAAAWGTAAAATATTTGCATTTGTGTGAATTAATGCCAATGATTAGAAACACAATATTTATCAGAACAAAACGATTGTTCTCAGTATAACAGGATATAGTGTGATTTTGAAATTCACAGAAATTTGTTTTGTCCCAGCTTGAGATAAAAATGTTCTTACAGTAAAGTTTATTTTTTTTATGCAAGAATCTATAGCAATAAGACAATATTGATAAAACTTCATATATYAGCTTCAAWAATRCCCCCTTTAGTCTTTAGCATTTTACTTTCACAACACCAAAAAAGGACAACGTTCAGCCACTAGGAAACAAATATATGATTAGGGACTTTTTTGGATGGTTTTCTAATGTGAGTTTCAAAGTATTTTTTTCTGATCATAATTCTTGGCTAATAATGCTTTATTTCTATCCTTGTCTGTTTCAGAATGGTCTTGTAAATCATGTAGTTTGCAAAATTCAGAGACTTCTCTTGTATGTGCTTCTTGTGGAACAAAGAGAGATACAATACAAGAAGAACAACTTGACTTGGATGATGATGTAGTGGAATTGAACATGGATCATAATGTAGCTCCTCCATTAAGCCCTGCTAGATTACTTCAAAGACAAACCAGTGTCTCTGTGGAATCAAGAAGAATTAGAGATGAAGGACTTGCAAAAGATCAATTAAATGAGATTGTCAAGTTCTGCAAAAATGTGAGACAATTGTATATAGTCTAGCTAAACATAATGATACCTTGATATAATTATAGTAATTATCTTCAAGATTTTATCCCACTGTGTAGTTTCCCATTGAGCTATGTTGGTAGGGCCACATGTATAATAATATACAGTCTTTTGATGAAATTCTGACTGATGTTAATATGTAGCCTGATTTCCAGATGGGATTGGGTACAACAATAGCGCTTTCCTTCCCAAATTCTGCCACCAACCGTTTTCATTATGTCACTACCYACCCTTTGTTTTGCCAACTGCGCCACATAATTTTTTGGGAGAACTAACATGCATAAATTATTGTGAATTTGATTTCATGTTTAATTCTTCTGTTTTTTTTATTGGACTCATCCTGGCAAATTAAAAAAAAAAGATTGATGCACTCAACATAATAATAATATATGTCAGACATGTTCACTCACTTATAAGATARCAGTGAATTAACCACTTGAAGATAAGATATGTATCTGTGCTGGCCATCTAATATTCTCTACTTATTGAATTTGTTTTATTTCAGCAAAATATCCCATTTATTGATGATTCATTTCCACCTTTACCCAAGTCACTGTACTTCAAACCTCGTCACTCTGATCACCCGAGAGTAGCCCAATGGCTTAGGCCAAATGACATTGATAAATTTAGCCGTGATTCCAAGTCAAAGCTAGCTTGGGCTGTATTTAGGAATCCAAGACCTTCAGATATCTTGCAAGGAGTACTGGGAGATTGCTGGTAAGTGAAATGAAGTCAGTTTGATATAATTCACTGATAACAAGCAGACTGACTGAGAAGAGCAACACTATTTTAGTAGCCTGCATATCAGCTCTAGAGGAGGGGGGGGGGAATGGAGGGGGAGGGTTGGAGAGGAGAGGAGTGGAAGGAACTGAGTATTATTTGGGGAGTGCTTTACCAGCAAAGGCATGGATTTATTATGTTGGACCACAGTAGTATGGATTGAGTACCGTTAGGCATAGARGCAGTGATATAATTATAGCAGGCATAAACATTTATTTTGCAATTGATACATGTTATCATAAGAAAATATTGAATATATGTGCTCTTGTATAACAAATATATAATTAGGTTTCTCAGTGCCTTGGCAGTTTTGGCAGAGCGACCAACCCTTTTAGAACACATTCTTGTWACAAGAGAGGTAAATATATAGTCTTTGTGATAAAAAAGGTGTACAACATGATGTGCTGTTCCCAGCAATAATTCTATTTGTTTTCTTAACAGATTTGTTCAGAGGGAGCATACCAGGTCAGGCTYTGTAAAGATGGCAAATGGACTATCATCTTGGTAGATGACTTATTACCTTGTAACATGCATGGGAAACCTGTTTACTCACAAGTATGATATGGAAATGGAAACTCTTTGATATGTGACATCCTATTACTATTTTACACTTGACTTCTCATCCTAGAGAGAGACAGCTAGTAGGGACATATCCACCTGATTCCTTTATTCATCAATACATTCCCTTATTTGTGTCTGATCCTTTTTGTGATCATTTTTGTGGATTGCACCCGTCCTGTGTGCCCTGTACTTCTCACTGTCTTATGGAAATTCTGGATCTGCCACATTAAAGAAAAKAATATGTCAAATGGATTGTTTGCTATTTGTCTTTTGTTTTTATTCATTTATTCATCCATTCATTGATCCCTCCATCTATCTATCCATTCATTTATATATTCATTTTCCCATCCATTCATTTATCAATTAATTTGATCTCCAGGCAAATCGTAGACAATTGTGGGTTCCTTTAATAGAAAAAGCAATGGCAAAGCTTCATGGATGTTATGAAGCACTCTCAGCTGGTAGATCTATTGAAGGTCTTGGCACTCTAACAGGYGCTCCCTGTGAAAGTATCATGTTACACAGTAAGTACTTATAGTATTGGGTTTTTTTACATTATATCCAGTGCCTAATTAATTTAATCATATTCCRGTTTGTAGAGCAGCAACATGAAGGTGCAGATGCGGAACCAGTCGATGTTCACATGATTTGGGCTCGACTACTGAGTTCAAAGTCAGCTGGGTAAGTTGCTTGTTGTYTAAGTTCTTCAATAAATCTCTCATATTCTTTTATCAATTATAAACTAACAATGTACCGTTTAGTGTCAGTTACAAACATTTGCAGGTTATTATTCTGATTGGAACAGTATATTATATTAATGATATCTAAAATGAAGTTTAACTTTTAAGTACTGAAATAAGCTCCCAATTTCATTTATGTGGTGGTATCGAATAAAAGCTAAATTAGTCGAAAAAATGCRGAGAAAAATWGCTCTTTAMGGTCMTTTCCATCGTAGTRCACTTGATATTGTGGTCTAATTATTTTAAAAATATACTTTCTAGATATCTAATGGGCGCTTCGTGTGGAGGTGACTCTCAACCTGAAGAAGAATCTACYTACAACAATGTTGGACTTCAGACTCATCACGCATACTCAGTTCTTGATGTGAGAGACGTTCAGGGACACAGGTACATCTTGAGTTTCTTGTTTTATTGTTGAGCGATTGCAGAAGTACATAACCAGAAGTGGTTATGTACTTCTGGCGATTGTGATTGAGCCTCTGAGAAGGAATAGCTTAAGAAATTGCTGGTATGAGCATGGAAATATGCCAAAGAGAAAGTCGATCTAGTGATTGTAACAAAATATTCCATTATCCATTCATTTCCATTCATATATAATTCATAATTTCAGATTTCTCATATATTGTAATTCCCTAGGAACTGAGTTTAAAATCTGATAGTAGTTAACGTATAGTTAAATACATTGTCTTTATACCTCGGCCGACATGTCGACATTCTTTTCATGGATTGACAGCTTTAGTTGTCATTCATGTTGTCATTGTCAAGATGATCGACGTTATGAGTGACGTTTTGCAATTCAAATATTTCGTTTTCTTGATGCAATGGAAGGCTTGGGCAGCATCTGAGTCTGCGCAACATTTCTTTTTTTTAAATTCACGCATGCGTAATGAGTAAACAATGACATTAACTACCGAGTTACCATATTGAAGCCATTTGGCAGCTGTTATGAATTCATTTGATAGTATGACTGGATTGCATGTAAGGGTAGTTCTATAACAGAGAAAAGCTTTCACATGAATGGCAGTGAATGGTATCCAAGCAARCAAAGTGACCAGGCTAACAATTGAAAGTGAGATGGTCAGTTTCTTGTTATTGTTCTGGATGGCTTGATTTGCCAATGTTTTTGTGCATGTCATCTTTATCCATATAAGGACATAGGCAGTGACGACTGTTACGAGGGGGACTGGAATCCACGCTACAACAAGAGGACCTTGGACGTTTGAGGCAACGGTATTGTCGATGAGCTGCAAACCTATCATCAGCAAACCTAACATCAAGGCAGAAAGCCATCCTCCAGCTGTACCCATAGCGTACTTCATTCTACTCACTGCACGGTGTTTGAAGGGGAAATATGTTGCATATGCTCTTTCAACTGCTAGGGCTGCCAAAGCAAATAACGATGCTGGTCCAAATAAGGAATCTTGTGCAAAATATGCAATTCGAAATATCATTGATTCGTGACGTCCATGTATATATACGTATAAGTACATAGGGGCTGATACTAGACCAACAAAGAAATCCGCCACAGCGAGGTTAGCTTTCAAGACATATCTACGCATGCGTAGACGACGGGAATTTACGAATATCACCATGGTGATTGCATTCCCTGTTACTATGACAATAGCCATCACAACAATGAGACCCGGAGTTGCCCACATCGTTGGTAAGCGAAAGGTACTGAAATGAAAAACGAAAAATACGTTCGAGAACTGATACACAACTGATAATTGTTGTTTGTTTGTCATCATTGAGGTATAGCAGATAATTCTGACATGCGTGTTTGTTGTACTTGTTATTGAGATCCTGTTCTAAAATAATTGGCATATAACACGCGCTGTGATTGGTCCAAACGTGTGTTTTGATGAGAGAATAGTATCAAAGAATTTAGCTAATTTTGAGTAATGAATGCAACAAAAGTCTAAAATATCAAAGATAGTTAAGGTGATTTAAAATTATTATAATTTTAATTAATTAATTATGAATTAATTATTATTATAATTATTATCTATTCGAAAAAACGTTTAACTGTTAAGCTGCATTTTTTTCCTTATCGTCGTAAAATAAAAGGACCTCCAATACTGTTAACTATATGTAGAAGGAAGTGTATAATGCAAACCGACATAAAGTGTATGATTCTAAAGTTACTCTGTATTTCTGAATTATAGTCAGGTAGCTAAAGACGCTGCGTACTTTTAGTATTTGTATTGCATGTACTGAGCCGTCTGTCTGAAAACCCACGTAAAATGAAGTCAATTGATCGTTTTCAACCATTCCCATGAGATTCAAAAGATAAAAGACCGACAGACATGTTGGAGGAATTAACAATATAGATACTGATGAGAAATGCTTTTGTTGAAGTCGCTGTGACGTATAGTGAAAACGAAGAATAATTACACATTTTGCAAACACAGACAATGAAATTGGCACTAATAAACTATGAAGCCATTTCAGGTGTTAAAAAAAGGAAGTCAAAGGATATTTAACTACGAGTTTAGCTGAAGTCGTGAACGTCATGCTAAACCTCTCTAATTGGTGTATAACGCGCTATGATCAAGCCAGAATATCAGACGTTTCCTCTGGGTCATGTCGCTTCTAGCTGTGATCAAGCACGCTGGCGCCATCGTTCCTTCGTGGATTGTATTTCACTGTGAATGAGCATATTTAATAGATAAAACAAGAAAGTAATCTAAATTTGATTATTTTTTGAAGTCGTACAAAATGGATATTTGTGTACTCGCTTTATTACATGGGCTTGTCACCGACGTTTTTCGTCTGTGGTATGCTTCAAATTATATCCGGGACCTTTTCATTTTTGACATCTATTGTCTTACTGTCATTCATGTTTCTAAGCAACGATTCAAAGGTCGCTTCATGCTTCTTCGGACCTTCGTAAAGCCGGCAAAGTCTTAAGATCGAACGTGTCGAATCTATCTAGCTTCTACAAATAGGCTAGATTCTTTTACAAATCCACACACCATTCGCGGCATAGCCACACTAAAAAAAATCGAGCATTTCTCAAAAGGGCATTTGGAGAGATACGGCGAATTTATATCGTGAATCTACCGATCGTGAATTATCTACTATCAACATTAGCTCATCAAAAGCTAACTTACACTAGTACAGGCTCTACAATCACCAAGGACTTATCTAAGACATGTCAACAGATTTATACTGAGGAAAAACAGAGGATAGGAAGTATTTTAAGCGAAGAACATGAAAGACTATCGATCTGTGTTTAATACAGCCAAGTATGCGACTCTTAAAGTAACGGCTCGTCAAACATAAATTACTTCTTTCACAATATTATTAAATTCTACTATTTTTAAGTACATTGCTTGTTTGATTATATTTCATTAAAGGAAAACTTTTTTGGCTGTTGTCTTTAATAGTAATATTAATTTCATTAGGGTTCAATATCATTTACTGATTGTGATATACCACAGGAAGCCCATGTAAACGATTGCTGATCGTCTAGTTTTCAATTTGGTTTACAAATTTTACTTATTTTACGTATAATTTTCATCAGTTAAAAATGGTCTGCCAAATTCAAGGCGAGGTTCTATTCATAGCTTGACTCCATTTAAGATGGTGCAGTTTAATCGAATAGCAATCCATTGTATTTTTGTCGTTCGTGTTGTTTAGATCGTGCTATGATGACGTCATAGTTCATTACTTCACACGGCTTTAGTTGTCATTCATGTTGCCATTGTCAGGATGATCGACGTTATCGACGTTTTGCAATTCAAATCTTTCTTGGTGCAATGGAAGGATGCGGCTGCACCTGAGCCTGCGCAACATTTCTTTTTTAAATTCACGCAAGCGTAATGAGTAAACAATGACATTTACCACCGAGTTACCATATTGAAGCCATTTGGCAGCTGCGGCGAATTCATATGATAGTATGATTGGATTGCAGGAAGAAATTACATCGGAGCAGATAAAGTGCTCCACTTGAATGACAATCAATGGTATCCATGCAACAAGCGTGATCAGACTGATGATTGCAAGCGAGATAGTCAGTTTCTTGTTGGAGTTATAGATGGCTTGATGTGCCGAGTGTTTTGCGCATGTCATCTGTATCCATATAAGAGCATAGGCAATGATAACTGTTACCAGGGAGACTGAAATGCACACTAGTACAAGAGCAACATTGATTACTCGGTCAAGATAAAATAGCAGTAAACCTAACAGCGAAGCTGAAAGCCACCCTAGAGCTATACCAAAAGAATAATTGATTCTCCTCAGGGAAACATATTTGAAGGGAAAATATGTTGCGTATGCTCTTTCAACAGCAAGGGCTGCCAAAGCAAACAGTGATGCTGTTCCAAATAAGGAATCTTGTATTCTATATACTCTTTCAAATGTACTTGAGAAGTGGCGTGTACCCTTTACGAGCAAGGATATGTACATAGGAACTGATATTAGACCAACAAAAAAATCCGCTACCGCCAAATTGGCTATTAGGACATATTTACGCATTCGRAGACGACGAGAAGTTGTGAATATCACCATGGTGATGGCATTCCCTGTTACTATGGCAATAGCCATAACAATAAACAACGGAGTTGTCCACATTGTTGCGATGCGAAGATATCTGAAATGAACAGGAAAATATTCACGACTTCAACTTTCATAATCATATTTATATTGATTGATTATATTATTTTCTTGTATACCTACCCTGAGCCTTTCTTTACATGCGTTTGTCGTCTCTTTCAAGAGTTACAGKTGAATGTTGAGGCTCAATATCAATTGCTTTCCAGGTTTTAAAACAGATGTTTCTAGATCGTTTTACACGTTTTCACACAGCAAAAACTGAACTGTTTGAACAAAATATTTATACGGGAAGTAGCTTCTTTGAGTATAGAACCATCACATGTATTATCAGATGCGTTTATATCAGTAGTTGGAAAGTCGCTTTGGCCACTTTTGTCAGTTTAGTAAAAACTGTTGTATATTCATCGAAAAAGAGATCTTAACCAAGCAATAACCACTGACTACATCAACAAATTAGAGAATAATTGACAAAAGAGTGACGTGTGTCAGTCGACATGACAGTGAAAATGTAGATTTTGGTGTCCGCTTTCTTTAATGTTTTCCTTGTGGTGTATTTAGGTATCGTTTATATCAAACAGGTGTACTTAGTTCTAGAAAACTAGTAACTTCCTTACAGATGACAAGCAATCCTTTGATCGATTAATTCTCCCATCCATCCATCCTTCCATCCCTTTTTCATTCATCCACCAATTTATTTTAAAAACATACTTCCAATTCCTTCTACTTTCACTTGCTAAACAACCTCTAACAGAAAACCTAAAATGTTTTATGATAGACTTCTACGATTGCGAAATCCTTGGGGTCGTTTTTCTTGGAAGGGAGAGTGGTCTGATGCATCAGCTGCTTGGACACCAGAATTAAGACACGAATTGATGGCTCATGGAGCTGAAGAAGGCGTCTTTTGGATTTCCTTGTCAGATTTCATGAAGTAAGCAAAGTCAATGCTAGTTAGTATATGCATCTACTAATGTTTCTGCTCTGCTCTACTCTGCTCGTGTTTGTTTTGACAGTTCTGAAATGACGTTCGTTTMCATTCAATTCACAAGAGAACRTGTTTTAATGTTTGCTTTRTTTTRCRMYAKSYAAWMSAAAWTTMYAAAYYAYGYAYMTMYAKKAAWTTWAAAA